CCAAGGTCAAGGACGGGTTCTTTCTACATCAATGTGGATACCTCAAGGATGTCCTGAAACGACATGGCATGGAGGCTGGCATGGCACCAGTCAAGAACTTGTTTGCCAACTTGGGCGAAGACGACACTGAGGAGGTGCAAACAGGAGATCTTTGTCAAGCTCAACAAGTCATAGGGGAACTGCAGTGGTTGGTTACCCGAACACGACCTGACATGGTGTATCATGTTGGTGTCATGGCACGTCTTGCGCACCGACGAGCAAGACATGTGGTCAAGCTTGGAGATGAGCTACTGAGGTATTTGAGTGCGACAAGTTCAAAGGGCTTGCACTACATGAAGACCTCAGCACAAAAACCATATGGTCGCAATGATGAGCTGGCCACGCAGGTGTCGATCAACAACTTGGAGGTGTTTGTGGATGCTTCGCACGCCCTGGAGCACGAGAACTACAAGTCGGTGACTGGGGTGATACTATGTGTTGGGGGTTCTCCCATCGCATGGGCAAGTGGCAGACAGCCGTTTGTTACCACTTCAACAGCCGAAAGCGAACTGGTGAGCTGTGGAGAAGGTTTCCAGTGTGGAGAAAGCCTTGCAGCACTCCTGGAGGTGATGGGCGTTGGGGACATCAACAAGACCCTCAACTGCGATTCCAAAAGTGCACTTCACTTGTGCACCAATGACACAGGTAGTTGGAGAACAAGACACCTGAGGATCAGGTATGCTCGACTTCGAGAAGCGTTTCAAGATGAGCTCTCGCGATGGTGTGCGAGGCATGTCAGTGGTTTGGTGCTTCCAGCTGATGGAGCGACGAAACCGCTTCAAGGACCAAAGATGGACAACTTTGTGGACTCCATCTACCTGGACGATCTCAACGATCTACGACGTGCAGAAGATGAGTTGAGAGCGGAGGAAGAGATAGTAGTGAGGCTTCTCTCAACTGGCCAGACGCTGATGGAGACAGATGACTCTCAGTGTCAAGAAACTGGTCTGGGCCTCATCGTTGCTGCATGTTGGATGATGAAAAAGAGGGAAAGGGAAAATGAACCTTCCCCACCATGGTCAGTTAGGGAAAATGAACCAACTGACATGGAAGAGGCCAACGTCAGGGCACCAAATGAACCGGCGTTGAGACATGAGGGTAGGGAAGATGAACCACCCCGTAGGTTGATGAAAACCATGGTGAGGGCCCCAAATGAACCCACCATGCGAGAAGAGGGCAGGGAAAATGAACCGCCCAACAAGAGCCAAAAGGAGGCCATGAAACCTTTCCCAAAAGGGATGATCGATGTGGAGGGGAAAAGAAACTTTAGGGTTTCAAACATGGAGCGTAGTCTTAGTGCTGAGTACTATCCTCAAAGGGATCAAGTTTCCTCCCCACAAAGATCATCTCAAAACCCTGACAACTGCCCTTCGGGCTGCCACGGGCCGCAACTTCGGGCGCTCAAAGTCAGCCATGGGAAGAGAGGTCAACGGCGAGGTCTTTCGAAGAGGCGCCAAGGGGATGGGCATGGTTTCAACTGCAACTTGGTTGGTCGTGCTGAGCAATGGCATGGACTTGAAGGAGATCCGATTGAGGACTTCTCTGTTGAGGACCTTGGGCTCGAGCCGCCAACTGAGGTTTTGGGTGCCGGGCGACACGCCATGGAGAGCACGGCGAGGTCGTCAGGGAGTTCGGCAACAGGAACTTCTTCACTGCCGGCTTCGAGGGCAACCAAGGGAAAAGGCCACAATGGCCAGGATGATGGCCAGCATGGCTTTGGAAAAGGCCAAGGAGGCCACTACAAGGGCCAACAAGGCCAAATGGATGGTCAGCTTGACCAAAAAGGAAAGGGCACTGGCAAGGTGTCTGAACGTGGTAGGGTGGCAATGTTGAGCCCTACAACCTCAGCCATTTGGGCTGGAACAGAACCCCAAACGCTTGGACCAGTCCAACAACGTGGACAAGCAGCAATGGGAACAAGAGTGATGAGGGGCAGTCGCTTTGGGTTTGAGTACGTGCCGATCCGCAACTATGATCCACGTCTTCGAGAACCAGAACCACAGGAGCGACCTCCAAGACCGCCAGCACAGCAGGTGGATGAAACGCAGTCTGATGGGAGCTATGAGTTGGTCTCAGAGGCTGTGGATGAGGAGCAGCCCCAACGGACTGAAAGGCAAGTGCAGTTGGAGGGCAAGCACGGTGCAATGGCTATGCCCCCACCAGGTGGAGATGGAGATGATCCTGGCCGAGATCGTCGAAATCGACGTGAACCAGAACGAGACCATGGGCCGGACCCTCCATCAGATGATGAAGATGAAGATGAAGAAGAACGTCCACGCAGGACATGCACAACCCTGGACGTCAAGAGGCAAAGAATGGCTTGGGCGCGACCCCCTGGATACTGGTTTCGGGGACGTGGCAGAGGCTCCAAGCAGGATGTGGAGACTGGCAAGGATGGGTCAACGATCATCCATGGAGTGCTCAGTCCAAACCTGTCCTGGCAAAGGATATACGCCAAGGGCTGTCGACCACGCCAGCTCTTCACACATGACCAAGGAGGAAAAGGGTCAGCGCAGGCAGCTCCAGTGCTGATGGGGCGAGGCGACACCCCGGGTGAGCAGAGGCGCAGCATCCTCCTGGCTACAGCCAATGCAAGGGCGGTCCAGGCGTTGCGCACAGCCGACCAGGTGAACACCACCAGCGAGGACTCGAATGAGGTGGCTCTGGCGGTGCAGGCAGCTACAGCTGCGGTGGACTACGCCGCGGACGTCCAGGAGATGACGGAGAGTGGAACCACCCCAGGCCAAGCTGGAAAGAGCAGTGGCAGAAGTCGCGTCTCTGTCGCACAGCTTGGAAAAGGCAAACCTGCCACCGCTGGGGAGCTGCAGGCTCACTACGCAGCGAAGGGCAAGGCGAAAGGCAGTGAAGCCTTGGAGCCTTTTGCAGATGGTTTGCATGAAGATGGCGGCGAGACTGCGGAGGAAGAGGCCTCTGAGAATGACATGGAGGTCATCCCTGAAGAGGACGAGGGCGATGGCGATGATGGTGGAGGTGATGATGGTGGAGCCGAAGGGCCTGCTACAACAGACCCACCAGTAGCCACCGCAGCAACAGAGGTGACAACTACCTCGACCACAGCAGGGGACCCAGCCAATGTTGAGGAAGAGGTCAATGCAGAGCCAGAGAACGTTGAAGAAGAGGTCAATGTGGAGCAGGACACAGAGGTGGAGAATGCGCTGCCTCCAAGGCGAACGCGCAATGACCCAGAGCATGAGATGGCGCCAATGGTCCCAGGAAGTTTGGGGCAACAGATGCGGGCAAAGGCAAGTTTTGGCATGGCATCAGCGCCGCCAGCGCAGCATGTACAGCAGGTGATGACAGCGCTGATGCAGGGCCAAACAATTCCTTTGACGTATGGACGTTGGGTCCAGTGGGATCAAACCAGTTGGGTTGGATCCATGCAGACCTACAGATATGGTGTGCTCAATGGGTTGCAGGTGGAGATGGACTTTGCGCAGGTGGGCTTGATGCTTCGCAGGCCAGTGGTTCCTGGAGTGACGCATTCACTTGCGCTCCAGGGAAATGTCATGGCTGTGCCGAAGACTGGTCTGACAAGAGAAGGCACAGAAGAGGAGGAGGCTGACCCGGGAGTTCCTTTTGAGCACGGAATGGTTCAGCCTGGCAAAAAGCCTCCCCCTGCAGCTTGGTTTCAGCAACAGAACATGCAGGACTGGATGAACCGCATGGCCAAGCCACCAGCAGTTCCTGTGCACCATGCAATGCCAGGACCACCACCAGTGGGCCCACCACCTCATGTCATGGCGGGACCACCTCCAACCGGTCCACCTCCTAACAAGGCAATGCCGAGGGCAGCTCAGACCTGTGTGCCTGGACCTCCACAAGTACAACCACCAATAGCTGCTCCGATGCAACAAAGACCACAAGGTCATGCAGGATGTGGTGGAGATCAAGGTGGCAGTCTGCAGCCACCACAACAACAGATGATGTAAGAACCTGCAGGTCAAAGGGCAACTTTGTCCCATATGTTGCGGATGACTGGTGAGCTTCGTGCAGAGCAAGGGATTCAAACTGCAGTGAACTTGGGTCTACGACCGGTGCCGCGACCGCCAACGACAACTTCGAAAGCTGCCACGAGGGTGAGAGAAGCGTCTGCAGATAGGGTTACGGTGAGATCCGATTCACCGGCCCAGTCAGTGACGTCGAGCTCTACGGCATGATCCATGTGGAGCGCAATTTTGAAAAGATGCTCTTTTGAGAGCCGGGCATTTTTCCTTTGGCAGAGTCTTTACTGCCACGATGTCAGCCAAGGTGTGAGTCTTTACATGCCAAGGTTGATGGAAGGTGCAAGTCTTTATGCACCGTAGTGATTTTAAGACCAGTGGGGCCTAACAACAACCTGGCATCACTGGCAAATCCAATTTTAAGAGCCTTGAGCCCTTAGCCGATCCTTAAAGAGCCTCCCGGCGAAGCCCCCTTTTATGCACGACAAAGTCGTGGAGGGAGTGCAAAAGGGTTCATGTGCATGCATGTACAACTGGACAGATGTAGTATCAGTTCTTATCACTGCTGGACAGGTGAAGTATCTGTAGTATCAGTTCTTATCACTGCTGGACAGGTGAAGTATCTGTTCTTATCAGTGCAACAACCTGACAACCTGCCTGTGTATGGGCAGGCTCTTTATGGTTCAAAAGTCGCGCTGCTCTGCCTAACACAGATTGATTTGGATCTATATTTGGGGATGGTCATCGGTTCATGAGCATGGTTTAACATATCAATTATATCCAATTATAATACAAGATATTATCCCATGTTACAACATGTGGGTTTGTCTGAAAATAGGGTATATTCCCAATTATAGCCATTTAATAGGGATAATGATCATTAACCATTGGGTTTAGGGGTACACTATTTTCAGACACACCCATGTGTTTTTTACATACTGATAGCCGTTACTTCCGAACTTCCAAAAATTGCTGGCTGGATGACTTTCATCCAACGAGGCGATCCTGGCTGGAGCAGTCCATGATTGGAACAGAGAGAACCCAACGAAGGCGGTGCAGCCAGGTGATCGTGTCCGGGGCCCCCTGGGGCCCCCTGAGGGCAGCGCTAGTGGGTAGTGGTATACCCAAGTGCCCAACCGGATTTTCACAGATTCTTCACGTTTTTTTCTTCAGTTTGTTTTGTCCAATATAAAGCATTCAATTGTACAAGTGTTTCTTGGAACGTTTTTGCAGTATGGTTGAACCACCCCCGGGGGTTCCAGTTCAAACTACCTAACCCCTGTCACAAATCGGGTGTAAAGCATCCCTTTCAGACACACTCATATGGCCCATATCATGTACTATATCCCATCGGATTGTCATATTCCCAAGACTTATGCATGCACCCATCCGTTTCCCAGTATGGTTGGTTAGATCCTCTCATTTTTTCAAGGAAAGGTGTGAACTCAATTGGTTAAAAAACAAAGCCCCACATGAGAAACACAACAAGTTCAGAGCAGTTCAGAGCAATTCATTCCATCCAAGGTCATCTCAGTAAATGGCGTCACTGGTGATGCCCAAGCAATGGTCCGGGAGATCAAGGTGCGCGATGATCAACTCCAATCTCTCAGCGATTTTTTTGGCCAGGGCCAGATGGGGAAAAAAAACACGTTGAAACCTCTCGGTTGAATCAAACAGGTTGAATCAAACAGGTTTTCGATAAATTTGGGTATGGATTGGTCATCTTGGAGTTGCTGAAAATCAATGAAAGTCACTTGTTATTTGCCTAATTGGGAAATCCATTGCTTGGGGAACCTATAGGGATTTGTTTTAATTTGTTTGCTGGTTCCTAAAGCAAACCCAGGTAAATCTATCCGTTTATTGGATATGTCTCCAGGTTTTGACCATATTCCAACCCCTCCCAGTGCGAATGATGCCTTACCACAAAGGTCCATAGCAAGACCCCGTGGCGTCGCTTAGATTCCGTCCACGTCCCAAGGATCGGAATCTGCTTCTGTTACTTTTTCAGAAGGCGGATGAAAAGATGGCGGAGCCCTCAAGAGCGGCTGGGTCAGTAGGGTCAGTGTCCCCCAAAATGATTCCCAAGGAAACTGATCCACCGCGACGAAAACTCCAAGATCCAAATTAGGGCAAACACCCAAAAATAATTTTAAGAAAAAGGCTGCAACCTCAATCGACTCCAAATATGACCCCCAGTTGCGTTGAGTTATGTTGACTTATTTGGTGAGGCCCAATCAAGGCGCAGTTGTGACTGGAAACTTATAACGTCACTGGCCGACGTGACTATAGACAATGGTTAGGGTTGTGGGAATCATTATCCCAAAATGCAAACTCATCTTGACCATTCCAGGGATGTTATGTAACAAAAGTGAACGTTCCCAAGTACTGTATTTGCCTTCTATGGGTATGTCCCCTAGGCCAATTTCAACCCGACCTTTTTATGTGGTGCAGCTATGGTATGTTGATTTCTACCAAGATCTGACATGCGCTTTTACACGTGCGTCAATTTCTGAGGAAGACTCAGAACCTGTGCCGGTTCCGGGAGCTCGGGTGCTTAACATTTGGGACTTGGCTCAGCCATCAGCCCTGGAGGTATGAGTGGTTTTTCATTTTTTTCAGGGCCCGCAGTGCCAGTTTTCTTTGCGTCAAGTGCTTGGAGATTGTCAGATGTTGGCCACCTAGCTGAAGCCCATTTCTTACCATTTCTTATACCTATTATTAGATAATACCTATTAGATATATTAGATAATAATGACCAACAAACTTGGAAAAAACCATGGGACGACTCGATACGATTCGGAAATCCTCTCCCTGGAGATCCCTTGACCTTGACATTGAGGTGGCTCGCGCCGGGATGCCTTTGACCCTCCCGGGGATGCCACCGCGCACTGTGGATATTCTTTTGGAGATCCGTGCTCGAGCAGCTGAAAAACAAGAGGCCCAGAAAGGCCTGGAGCTGAATATCCGTGACATTCCGTGACCCCTGGCGGAGCGTTCAACGTTGCAGGTGACCCCTGGGGTACTTCTTTCATCCGAATATTTTTTGGTGGGAAACTATGTGTCATGCTATGTCTTGCCAGAGGCAACTCCCAACGAGATGGGAGTTGGGTTACCTAATTGGGCTGGGAATATAGTGCAGCCACACGAAAACAATTGGTTCCATTGTGCAGATTGCAGCAGAGAGGTGTTTGATCCATGACACTTTCCGCAAGTAAGAATTGCGCCACTTGGGATGTTGTGGGGGCTCGGTGTTGGGAGCTTCTCTTGGCTGTTTCTTCGTCTCGCCAAATGAAGTTCTGTTGTCCCAGTAGTTTTTTCTTGCCAAACTTATGTTGAAATGAAAATTGTGGATTTGTTGGCTCCCTATGTCACCCTAAGGTCCTAAATTTAAGATGGAACCCAAAGATGGCCATAATTCCAGCATGAGAAAATCATCTTGCAGACCCAAGTGGTGGGGTTCCATGTCAATTTTGCAGATTGTGAAGTTTTAAGCCACATATTATATGGTATCTCAGCAAATATCCCAATAAACGCTTGGTTTATCCTCCCATTTTGGGTGGCCGTGGCTTATTTCGGCCACCCCGGCACCTCGGCTCGCACCCCAGGCATTGCAAGAAAGCCGCCCCCCAAGCCGTCCAACGAGCCGCCCAACCATTACGAGGCCCCGAGGGCGCAGCGAAATTTACTGGGTCCATCTGGGTGTGGGTACCCGGGAGCTATACATATTCCCCAAGGGGAGCCCTGAGCTACCACATTGAGCATCTGATACTTCAGCACTTGGATGTGAAAAAACAAAGCCATTTTAAGATGGGGGTAGATATGTTTAAACAACGCAGCCGATTTGGTTTGCAATCCATGGCGGGTGCTTTAATTCGGGTCAATCATGGATGAATGAATTCTGGTTGTTAAAAGGTTTTATAGTTACATATATGCCCGCCAAAAGTGATAATTACAGAAGTTTGTAACTAAGCAGCAAGAGGAACCCTCTTATATGATCTTCTATAAATCAACCAGGCATTTTTTCGCGGGATAATCACATGTATTTCAAAAATGTTATTCCTGTGTGTTCCTCCCTCTATAAGACAAGATAGATTCTGACCATGGGGAATGGGGGGCATATAATATACTAAAAACATAATGCATGGTCAACGTAAGCCCTCGACATATCTCAATATGCGACGTTGCACAGCATCCACTTGTTTCAAGTGGTTTTTTGGCAAGCGAAATAGGCTGAAGCAGCTTAGATGATGGCGGCTGTTCGCTACAGCAACGATATTTTTTGTGGATTGTCGCAGTTGTTCCAAGATGTTTTCTAAACACATGCAGAACTGTTCACAGAACATCACAGAATTGGTTTAAGGATGTTTAAGGGAACCATATCGGACATCCTTTCTTTTTGTGGGGGGGAAGAATCCCATAACTTTCTGCTCGGTTTCCCCTGCCAAACTAACAATAGCCAACTTCATGGGCCATGAACTGAGGTCTTGGGCATTGAAATGAAGGCTGACGATGCGGCCATCAAAAAGAGTCGCTTGGAGACGCCGAGAGGATTCGGGGGGCGAATCCGAGCTATAGCAATGAGTGCTCATTAAATTGTACCATAACATACCATAACTATGTATATAACTATATAACAATATAATTATATATATAATTAGATATTTATATATAATTATATATATATGCGAAACATGACCCATTTGTGGATATTTTACATTGCTTTGCCTGTGAACATTGTAATTTTCCATTTCGCAAGCTGTTAGTCATTACCAGAAAGTACAAGAAAAACATCTCATTGGCTGTTTCAAAATGACTGGGATGGTCCTCCTAGCTACAATGCGCCTATCGGGCATACGGGTTTTGATTCAGCAGCTACGCTTCTGCAGATGCGTAGCACGGAAATTTCCGTAGATCGTTTAGTTGGGAGATGTAGCAGGTTGAAATAGGTGAACAAAACCAATCAACTAGAAACTTCATATCTTTGTTTCAGGCTATGCCAGGCTCGATTTGCCTTTTCCAGTTGTGGGTAGGTCTACCCAGGTTCACCAAATCCCGAGGGAAATGTTTGAAACCACGCAGGAAAAAGGTGATTCTTTCCGCCCATCCAACTATATATATCTATATATTATATTCTATTAACATCTATTAACATTCTATTCATCACAAAGCCCAGTTCGCCACAGTTCTAGTTACGAACCAACTGCACCCAACTAACTAAGCTACATCTTTCAAGCAATTTCTCGGGGGCCCTTTAATTGCAGTACACCGCATGTCTGAGGCTACCGGAAGTTGGTGCTGCAATGGCATCCCGACAAACACCCGGCCCGCTCCGAAGCCGAAGTGAAGATTCGGCAGATCAACGCGGCGCCGCTTGGCGAGGGCAGATGCGGAGGAAGCGGTGGAGAAGTTGAACTTTGAAGATTTGAAGGTTAAAACGTAGACTACAATGGATGATATCAGCGAACACACGGAATTGAAAGGTGATGAAAGGTGTATAATATACATAATATATATTTATTTATTTATTTATCTATTTAATTAATTTATTTATTAATTTATTATCTATCTATATGTATATATATCCCTTCCTATTACTAACCCCCCAAGTAATAAAAACTAGGGTCCGTCTCCAACCGTCTCTTAAGGCCGAAAAAAAAACATATTAATTAAGGTTTTTAATTTAATATCAGGGGAACGCTTCGACATCCAAATTTTGGCAATATCTTAAGTAGATTTTAAAAGGAAATCTAATCGATTTTGAAATAGAACGCGATTTTGATATTAGAGTTTTAAAATTACTATTAGGATGAAGCTTCGAAATCCAAATGTTGGCAATAGTTTAATTAGATTTTAAAAGGAAAACTAATCGATTTTGAAATATAACAAAATAGTTTTCTATATTAGGGTTTTTATTTACTATTAGAGGGAGCCCTAATACCCCCTAATAATAAAAGCTATAGATGTTTATTATTTCGGGGGGAGGCCGGGTTTAGTATTAGAGGATTATATATTTAGTAAGTTTGGGTGTGTGAGTTGTGTAGGTCGAGTAGCAAAAAGGGGAACCTCCACGTAGCCATGGGCCATCGGCGCGTCCGAGGTATGAGACCATCAGCAATCCGCTGAAGCGCCAAAGTGGCTGGGCCGGAGAAGAATCCAAGCCCGATAGATTTTTGGGACCTACATTTGGATGCTGTTTGGAAGATGTTTCAAACGCTGCTCTGTAGAATTTGTAGTAAGATATTATAATCTTAATATGAATACCCCTACACCTGTGAAAACTACGTTTTCGAATCATATTATAATGGATATTTTTCAAGTACTCTATGGATGCTGATTTTCATCCCAACCGGACCTCATTCTCTCATGAACAAATCGTGGTTGGCACGTGACGAATTGCGGCAATGGGGCAATCCGCCACCACGCAGGGATGTTGTAAGCTGCGTTGACCAAACATGACCAAACTCATAGAATTGGATTATGGGAAAATTTACAGGAAAGTCCTATATTTGATGGTAAAAACTAAAAACCATGGTTTCCGGTTAAGATTTTCCCTTAATTAAACCAATCCAGTAACCAAACACACTGGTTTTTCTTGTGCCATTCTGTCTCAGTGATGAATTTGAAGCATCAAATTGAGGTGAAGTGATCGTGATTTGCACATCGTCGTTCGCAGGAGACGTGAGTTTCCCATGCTGTATTTCTTGCCAGGGTGTTTCCATCCCATACCCTAACCTCAAACAACTGGAAACCAAGAACCTATCAATTCAAAGGGGTGAGGTCATATCCCCCGCGCCTGCTTTTTTGCCAGGTTATGATCAGATGCTTCAAGCGATAGAAAGAAAGCGCTTGAACATTCGATTAGAGACGCTAAGTCGCACCAGAGGGGTAGTGGAAAGTGTTTCAACGATGCCTCCATGTGGGGGGAATCCAAAATAAGGAGCCTCATTAAACATGTTCCAACTTATGGATACTTATGGGTAATGTTTAATGATTAGAGGGAAAGCAATAGCCAGCAGTGTAGACATGCCATGGTTTTTGCTTCAAATATGTGGCTGTTTTTCAGCCTGGTTGAGATGACGAATAGCAATTTCTGGAATGGCTCAAAAGCACCAACCAGTTGGTTTCTTCAAGCGCAATTCGGCCTAGAAGGAATCCAATGAGACATGCAAGCTTGCCCTTTGTTCCATTTTCAACCCCCCCCGAACGAGGACAAGCCAAACAAGCGTCCGCAAAATAGCGCCCAGTACCTTCTCAAAAAGCGTTATTAAACAATTGTGGTTTCAGTTTATTTTTCAGAAATCCAAAATTCATGCAACAGCAGTCAGTTCAGTTGATGGACATGTTAAAATTATTTAAAACTATATAAAAAATTAATTATGACTACTAGCCCAGAGTTTATCAATGCCACCTGTGGAAGCTTAGACGGGGGGTACCAGGTCTAGTTGGAAGTATCCCTATTTTCAGCACCTGATCAATACACATTTTTTGCTCGCTGCTTCCTGCCATTGTATCCCGCATGCTCTGAGGACGCAATTTATCAAGCCGAGGATGAGCATTCCAAAGGACCACCACGCATGGGCTCATGCAGTGGTTGTGCCGTTGTATCCCACATTGCTATTGCAGATTTATGAAATGTGAAGCCCGGGCAACCTAAGCTGGCATTCGGAAATCCACTGAAAAAATATCCATACTTATGTCCAGTTATCGTTGGATTAGGGAGCTGGACCTTCGGATATTCCCAATGGGAGGTTTGAATGCCGTTGGCTAGCCTTTTCTTCCACAATGGGAAACTCACTATTTTAGAGCAAAGACATGTTGTTTGGTGACATGTGGGATGATAAGACCTTTGATGCCAGCCTGCCGCAAGCCCGAAATTCCGTGTTATATACGGCAATTCTCTTTTGTGCTTAACAAGGGCCGGCAAAAAAGCAACTACCCTCCAGGATTTTGCACATAGCGGGCCCTTATCAGTTGTGCTAACTTACAGTATATCCCGGCAACTAGGGTTCAAAGTGCATGTGCCATAATAAGGAGGCTTAAGAGTATGCTGATGTATATTAAACCGTGTAAAGATGTTTAAAGGTCCCTTGGGGCCCGGGCTTCTTGACATTGTAGGCTGCCATCAGGCTATGGCCTGTGGCACCTGAATAGCTTTCCACAGCCAAGCAAACAGATCCTGAAAGGGCTGATGGTTGATTTCTGGCGGATACATAAATAGCAACAGAATGTAATAGATAAATGTAGATGACATCTACAGTTGGATGGGTGGTGATGTGAAAAAAAACAGTGTAGCAACTGCGAAAAAGGCGGCAACTTCAGACCCAGGCCCAACACCCAGGGCCGCTGGCGCGAAACACAGATCCTATGGATCCAAATTTATACAGGATAGCGACTTCTTCCACACCAGGATTGTTGTTGAAAAACGATACTATATTATCAACTATCCCTCTAATATTGAACACCCCCATCTCGGGTGTGTTTAGTATTACTGTAATAAGTAATAATCAGTATATGGCTAGGTAATGTTGGGGGGATTGGATTCAGCCATTCCCAACTGGGATCACTGCCACCCAGTTACGCACAGGAATTCATGCTTTGTCCTCTAGGCGCGCCCGAAGTTTGGTGTCCTGTCCAAAAATGTCCAAAATGGGTGAGCATCGAAGTACTGAGCACTGGATTTCCCAGAAATCGGTTGGATTCTAAGGGAAATTTTGCAGTTTGTTTTGTTGAAATCCAGATTTTCGCAGTCGAACTGGAGCAAAAAACGTAGATGTTCAGAGAAAAACTGGAACGAAATAGACACGCAACTGGACTAAACCACCCATGTATGGTTTACAAATGTTTACAATACCAATAAAAACGGTCAAATTACTGATGGTTTATCACCTGCTTTACAGAATATATATATATATATAGGTTGGTGGTTTGGAACATGAATTTTATTTTTCCATATTATTGGGAATGTCATCATCCCAACTGACGAACTCCATGATTTTTCAGAGGGGTTGAAACCTCAACCACCAACCAGTTAACTATTATCAACCGTATTATTAACCATATTATTAACCATATTATTAACCATGGTATAATTAACCATATTATTAACCATATTATTAACCACGATTAACCAACCATAGATGTCCTTTTCCCATTGGTTGGTTGATCCCTGAATTTCTCACGATAGCGATCCAGGCTCTTCGGATAAATTCGTCCGAATCGTTGAGAACCAGTTGTTGGTGCAGTCGCGCGATGAAGCCCTTGGGGTGGCCTTCCAGGCTGGAACGCCGTGGCGGGGTGTGATGGTTTCAACATGTTCGAAGGATGTTTTACCCTCTGGTAAACATACAACTATGGAAAATCACAATGTTTAATGGGTAAATCAACTATATATGGGCCATGTTCTATAGCTATGTTAGTCTACCAGAGGGTAACATGAGGGAAAATGGACAGGAACCGGAAGGTTTTTGTCAACTTTAGAGCCACATGAGTCATGACTTGATATGACATATTTCCATGACGTATATTTCCTGCCAAGTTGGCCTGGAAAGCTTAGGAGTTGATTGAGTTTCCCGTGACGACATCTAGCAAGGTGTTCCCACTCTTGCTGAAGATTTGGCTGGTTCAAGATCTATTTCTTACCACCCCAGATCCTTAATAGGTATTGTATTCCCATATTGATCGTATTTGGGGATGGTCATCAATTAAGAGTGATTTATACCTATAATTTCCCATGGATGGATGAACATTGCAAGCATGAATCCCATGTTTTGACCCTAGCACAACATGTTCCTTTTTTTCTGAGCCCAGGGATCTCCAGGGGAGTGCTTCACGCCAGGAATTTTTCCAGGCGGCCAAATTTTCTTTGTGGTGGCTGCCTGAAGTGAACAATATGTGTCGACTGCGAGCCCGCGAAACCGCAGGCTCCCGCGAAACCGCAGGCTTTCAAGGGTGGAGGATCATGCAGGTGGAACGCTCCACATATTCCGCATAAAACTGGAATGGTTTCATTATATGCTCATTATATGGAATAATATAATATATATATATATATATTCCTGGTATATTACCATATAATATACCCAATATATGAATATAATCATGGTTACATGACTGCTGTCTTCTGTAGAAAGTTGGGACCCTCATTGCCAGGCCAGGGTATGGAGGGTGGCATCAATGTGAGCTTCACCTTTGAAGCAGGCCAGGTTTGTGGGTTTGGGAAAAATGTGTGTGGTGAGTAGTATTCCACATGGCTATGGAAAACCATAGGAAAACCATAGGAAAACCATAGGAAAATGATGGAAAATGGAGGTTTACCCTCTGGTAAACTAACATAGCTATGGAAAATCACCATTTTTAATGGGAAAATCAACTATAAATGGCCATGTTCAATAGCTATTATGTTAAATTACCAGAGGGTATATACTATAGCCATCTATAGCCTATGATATTCCATGGTATATTCACTCACATTTATTGTCTATTAGGATTCCATGGTCCTCATAAATGTTCAGACTTTTTGACAGAGGAATATGATGGAATATGTAATGTCTCACGGGATTTAGAGTGGAGGTTTGCATTGGGCCATACTTCCTTTACAGATTTTATCCTAATGTGCAATGTTCCATTTTGAGCTATTTATATAATTATTTCTAATGCCAAAAGGAATGCAGTGCTGGTCTATGGGGACTTTGTTCAAGGGTCTATATAACAGTCTGCAAGCTTCGTCATGCAAAAAATGATAAAATAATATAGACTGGTTGGTGGTTTGGAACATTTTTTATTTTTCTATTCAGTTGGGAATGTCATCATCCCAACTGACGAAGTCATATTTTAAGAGGGGTGGCTCAACCACCCACCAGATATCTAAGACGTATCCGATATCCATGGTTTTCATCGTGTCCATGCCCGTTGACGACAGTCTTCCCCCCCTTAAAGAGGTGCCTCTGGGAGCCATTTGAAATCCCCGAAGTTGGCCGAAAACTCCTCGTTTCTGCTTGTTCTGGCACCGTCGAACCCAGCGGCGTGTTCCCAGTTGTAGATTTCAACAGCGTTTTCGCCCACGCCCAGCCAGCCTCAGGTCAGGAAGAGGATGATAGCATCGAGTCAGCCTGCGAGTTGTCTGCTGACCAGGCACTGCATCTATGCCACCAGCCCCGTGCGGGGCTGGCGTTTCCCAGTGGTGAAAGGTTTCGGGATTCCCCATGGGAATGATAGCCTCACTGGGTGAGAAATATTGGCTGATTGACATTGAATAGGGAGGTCCCCAAATAATATTTCATAAATATTTGGATGAATAGATAGCAATTATCCAATAATATTGAGTACTACCCAAATCGATCCAAATATTATTGGATAACTGTGGTTCGATGGTCTAAAAAAGCGAGTTTACCTCATCAATCCTCATCATATGAATGATTGTGTTCGATTGGGTCTACCTTACCAATTTATACATACATAGGAAGAATATATAATAATAATAATAATAATAATAATATATATATATATATTATACTGCTGTATGACACACACGCACACATATTGTTGTTTTTTAATATATATATACACACGAATTACATGCATATTACATGCAATATCCATATATCTGGGTAAATTATAACGACCTCACTGCGACCTCACTGGAAATCATGGTTAGTAAGGGAAATCATCCCCAAATGGGCCTTAATTTAGGTTAGTGAAATATTATAATTTGCCCAGATATATACATATCACAGATGCACCAGACATCGGCTTTTCTGCGCCATCTCAGGATATGAAGAGATGCAATCTCATTGCCCGATCCTTGGGATGACCCACGTCGCGGACCCGAAGCCTGGAATGCCGTCAAGCAGCGCCCCTTTCAAGCCCAGGTCTAAATAAGGACCCATTACCCTCTGGTAGTTTAACGTAGCTATTGAAAATGACCATTAATAGTGGATTTTCCCATGAAAAATGGTGATTTTCAATAGCTATGTTAAATTACCAGAGTGTATATCAATGGGTTATGTCCCCATATTAATCATATTACCAATGTGTCATCATGTTAAAAAAAGCCCACTATTTCCCCAGATGATCAATGGGTTATTCCCCAACATTACAACAGTCTCCTGCTGCCCTGGCGGAGTCGGCGTCGATCCGAGGTAAGTGCTTCACCCTTCAGTCAGGGCGCCTATCGCTTCGAAGGCGAGTTTGCCGTTCAGCAAGAGGTTGGATAAAATGGGTCTGAAGGATCCTAAAGGTAGAAGGGCTTATGCATTTTTCAAACCAGCTTAGAGCTGGGGGTTAGGGCCTAGGGGTGGCAGCTGGGGGTTGAACTTTTTGCCATCAATGCATTCTTTCCCTGAGCCCTTTGCCGGGGATCACCGAGATTCGCCACGATCTCATGCCATGGTTATGAACTTCTAAGTGTCTAACTGGGATTCCCATGTCGAATCGTTCAGTATGTGGGACCCCCTAGTTATAGATTATAGATTGGTTTATAAACCCCACTATGGCGAACACCACCTTGAACAATTTAAACATGGAACCAACCAAAATGGTGATTGAACCATTGGACATGGGTTTAATGGGACCTTAATGGGATTTCACCAGCTAAACATGCTTGACCAGCAAAAACATGAGTATAAGCTAACAATTAGGAACGTGATGGGACAATATGGGACATACTGGGTGGTAAACGCCAGTTACTGTATGTTGGTGAATAAATGAACTGTTTCAACTAGTTTGATATACAGTATCAGTTTAGTAACCCCAAAACAAGATAGAATAACTCTTCATAGCCAAAAACATAGAAGAAATTATAGTTTATAGGAATGTAATAGGTGTTTTTTTTCGCCATTTCCATTGTGTTCTCGACTCAGAAAATCTCCAGGCGCATTCTGGCCTGGTCGATACATGGCCTACCGGTCACCAGAACAGCTGCGGATGGCCGGAAAGGTGGACGGACGGATGGGTGGATGGATGGATGGGTGGACATGCTGTATATACATGATATAGATGGAATATTCATATCTAAATAGATGCAATGAGACATATGATGTATGCATATATATATATAATATGTGTGTTTGAAACCCTGCCCAAATTGTTGTTTCCCTTATGTTTATTTTCCGGAAATTACTGGCAGAGTTGGGCCAGTTTTGGGGGTTCTAAGCCTCGGGAAGGTCTTGTTGAGGCTATGGGGATTAGTAAACATGGATTTTAACAACAAGTATAGGACTGTTACTGGCATGTCGCCAACAAAATCAAGGGATATCCATTGATATATGATAAAATGTATATCATGTATCATTGGATATCCCTTGGTTTTTGAATTTTTGATATAATCATACGTATATATATATATATACTATATATAAATATAGTCAATATACATGTTGCGATTTACGAGCGCACACTGCTTACAGTACATTACAGTACGTATGACCTATTCAGATTCTAGTCCAAGTAGGCATCATCACTCTGGCGAGACCGTTTTTTGCAAGCGCACATCACTTGAAACCTGGGAAAGGGATTGGGGCCCTGCAAAAGGTGACGTTTATTTAGTGAGTGAAACGGAACACATGCCGCTTTTCAATTTTAGGAACACATTGATGATTTCCAAAGGCGGTAGAAATGTTGGAAACCGCATTTTTTCTCCCGAGCCAACTATTTGTTAATTGGATCCATTCCCTCAGTGACTACATGTCAGAGGTTTGGTAACATGAAGCAAGTTACTCAAAAGCAGGAAGGAATCTCTCGTGTTTGAGTCATGTTGGCAACCCAGTAACACATAGTAACACCCATAAATTGGCCATTTATGGCCATATAGTTAAACAATGGCATTGGGCATTGTTGTGTTTTTTTCTCCCCAAACTAGACACAACAAATATAAAACACCTCCGATGATTGGGATGGCCACAGGTTGATGAGGGCAATGATGTTGCAGACTTTGTCCTGGTGGATTTTTCAGCTGTTTGGGGTCCTCAGCTCCACGGGGGGACATAATTCTTTTGGTTCATGTGCAAGATGCTGTGTGGCATAGAGGAATAACATGGAAGGATATGGAATAATATATGGAATTGCATGGAATATAACAAAAAATGTATATACGTCTACTAATGTCGATGCACACTTCTGCAATCTCCTCGTATATCCCTCAAAAATTCACTCGTTTGTTTGCCTCGTATCCAAGCCATGCCATGGCTGGTTTGACTCTGTCAGATTGAGTCTGTTTGGCCTCCACAAGTGGGGCCCCAAGGATAGGTAAGGTCTGCAAGGTTGTTTATCAGTGCAAAAGCTAGAGGACTTATGGTGGATATATCATGATACATCATGCTTCATCTACTGTTTAATTATTCATTTATAGACCGATTTCTAACTAGGGCCTTTTGTATGAACTACCGTAGTTGATCCAGTAGGAACCATAGTATGTCACCAGCTACCTCAACTGCCCCAACTGGATTGAGCAGGCCACAGAACACCTCACATGTGCCATGTATTTAATGTTACATGGTCGGCATGCGAGTCCTTTCCAAAAAACATGTCAAAGAAAAATTGGGACCACCATCTCAAATCCACCATTTCAATCCATGTCCTAATCTGGTTGGTGGTTTGGAACATGTTTTATTTTTCCATATGTTGGGAATGTCATCATCCCAATTGACGAACTCCATGATTTTTCAGAGGGGTTGAAACCTCAACCACCAACCAGTTATTATTAACCATTATTAACCACTATTAACCAACCATAGATGTCCTTTTCCCATTGGTTTCAACAAGCTTTTCAGCGTAACCATCCTGGTTTTCAGCCGCTCCAGTGGTCCCAGGCATACAAGTTCATGACCACCAGCGAGGTGGCCACCTCGCTGGAACCGAATTGGAAGATGATCCGTTGAGTTAACGTTGATTCACCTATTAAAATTGTGGTTTTCCATATAGCTATGTGTTTTAAACCACAAAGTATGTATATATATATGATGTATACATATATATATGTATGTATGTATATGTATAATATATATATGTGTGTGTGTGTATGCACCTATGATTTGATGTGCTTATTTGAATTTTATAGTGCGTAAATATAAACCATTATAAACATCAAGTGTAATGTCAATGGCAACCCCGGAGAAATAAATCATGGTTTATCAATTATGGTGGTACCCACCAAATAGTGTTCATATGATACTTAATCGGCACCCTCCCAATTACACAGCTGGTTCAGGTTTATTAAAATCCAGGGTTGACATTGTTCCGGATGTTTTGGTCAAGACCTGGTGGGAAATCCTAGACGCTTTCTATTGGCCCCCCAGCAATGGCCTACCTGTCCATCATGAAGGTTCACGTTTGGGCCATGCGGCCATCCCATTGGTTGTTTGATTTCTTGAAATTCTTGCCTAGCGAGCTGAAACTGCTTGGTGTCTAGCCGTGTCTAACCCATTTGTTTTGGGCCCCAGTCGTACGTCGCGACGCGTTTTATGCTTTGCTTTTCTGCTTGGCAGTGCGCGTTTATGTGTATTTTTCTCCACGCCTGTCACGCGGATTGACGGGGGGGGTGGGGGGGGGTTTCGGGGGGGGGGGGGCTTGATAGCGTTCTGTCGCCTGCTTCCTGTTTCATCTTCGTTTCGACATGCTCATGATGCTACGCTCTATAGATCTTCTCTTGCAATCCTCGACACGCTCATGATGGGGGGGTGGGGGGGTGGCTTGATAGCGTTCTGTCGCCTGCTTCCTGTTTCATCTTCGTTTCGACATGCTCATGATGCTACGCTCTATAGATCTTCTCTTGCAATCCTCGACACGCTCATGATGCTACGCTCTATAGATCTTCTCTTGCAATCCTCGACACGCTCAAGATGCTACGCTCTATAGATCTTCTCTTGCAATCTTTGTCACGCTCATGATGCTACGCTCTATAGATCTTCTCTTGCAATCCTCGACACGCTCATGATGGGGGGGGTGGGGGGGGGTTCTGTCGCCTGCTTCCTGTGTCATCTTCGTTTCGACATGCTCATGATGCTACGCTCTATACATCTTCTCTTGCTATCTTTGACATGCTCTATGTTTTTTCGAATGCTTTCAAATTGCTGGTGGAGATAAAACCCATTCAAACACACACACAACTCATTGTTTCTGAAATTAGAATCAACCATAACATAAATCAAAAAAAAATGCACCTCGCTGTAGCGAAAACACGAAAAAAACTAAAAACCTTCATTTCGCTGTGGCCCCGTGCAACATGATGTAACTGCTATGTGAAAAATCCAAGTCCAAAAAAAAGTAACTTAAGTGCGTAAAAAATGCCATTTCACTGTAGCGAAACTACAACCAACATTTAAAAAGATGCATTTCGCTGTAGCCCCGTGCTACATGCGCGAAACTGTGGTGCCATGGCAATTTCGCTCAAAATTTTAAAAAAACAAACATGAAATGACATGACACAAGCAGATGAAAAAAACACAAAAACACCGCAAAAACCATGGAAAATGGAACATGACGTCACTTGGCAGCATTTCAGGCGCGTCTTGACGCACCACTGGGGCGTTGTTTTGCCAAATAAAACTGGCCTCCTTAGTCTCTAAATGGTTCTAACAAAAAAAACACACAGCCCATTGCTGGAAAACCATCCATTGAGTCAGATTATTATCCCAGCAATGCGTCCCGCAAGAAAACACGGATGATGTTTCCTTGCTATGTGAAATGACTTCTTTGGTGGACCCGGCTATCCAATGTTACCCACCATTTTTCTTGGTTCATGTGCTTCCACAGCCATGGGTGGGTTTAATCCAAGCCCATTTCCAGGTGCTGAAAGGAGCCGTAGATAGCCAGGGCGGGGCCGAAGGAGGCCGAACTTGGGGAAACTATTGGGAAGTTGGGGCTATCCCAAGATCAATACCATCCAGGAAGTACCACAAAATACCCTATCAATGGGCGCATTTCAGAATTTCTATGAGAAAATCATCGAACGAAATGAGAAAATTGGCCAGCAAGCCATGTTGGAGTACCAGGGGGTATCATCCCCAAGATTGACATAGACCCTGAAAGATAGCGGATTGGAAGACTAATGAAGACTACTTGCTTCTAAAATGTGCGACTTCTCCAGGTCTGTGTTGAGTTGGTGAATCATAACTTGGATGAGTTTGAGGACTCGGTTTGAGCCCGTCAAAGCTTGGTCGATCTGAGTCGATCTTCACGTTACCGTTCCCCCCTCCCGCTTCCTCCCGCCCCCTCCCCCCAGAAAAAGAGCCAGGAAATACACCCAATATATCTATATATATATATGATCATCATATATGCCAAAGATTGTTGGTTCAACATATCCTCCTCATATTATCCACAAAATGGTTGGTGTTGTTTGTTTTGAAACCCGTTCAATACTCACGTGTTGGATAAAGTTTGTTTAAACATGGTTTCAACAATCAAAACTCTGTTCCATGTGGGTACATGTTTAGTCGTTTGATGGTAGCTACTCGCACTTAACATCAAATTCTGCTTGGTAAATGTTACCATTCATCGGTTAAATCTGTTTAGGGTGAAAGTTGGAAGTGATTGTTTACCTGATTGGTGGTTTGGAACATTTTTTTATGTTTCCATTCAGTTGGGAATGTCATCATCCCAACTGACGAACTCATATTTTTCAGAGGGGTAGGGCTCAACCACCAATCAGTTTACAGTTTCTTCCAACAAATCCTATGGAATATCCATAGATATCCCAGGGTCCCACTTAGCCAAGGCTACGTCAAGCTGAGCGATTTGCGGGCGGACTTACAGGTGCACGTCATGACGGGTCAAGCTGGGACTGATAGTTTACCCATGTTTACCCTTTCATGGCCTTATAAGGTACAGTACCTCCATTTCAGGATCCTGAAATTCCCATTGACCCTTGGTAAACCAACATGGCCACAACTTTGAAGGTAAATCACCGAACTAAATGGGCCATGGCTTATAACTTATACTCATTTTTAAGGGTACTAATGTTTGATCTTTGATCTTCAAATGATCGACGTTAAACATTGTTCAGCCTTGGGAAGTTCAACATTGGATGTTCCGTCTGTGAATTTGGAGGCTGTTGCAGCTATGTGATCAAGGTTTCTGACTTTGAATCCCCTTGGCAGAACTGGTTTGAAAAAAGTATCCAGATATGGGGCCACCAAAAAAAGAGCCGTGTGATGATTCAGTGCTTCCCCAGAAATGGGACAATTGCAGGAGATAGCCTTGGATTTGATGATCAAAACCAATAGTTTCCGATATCCAGTTTCATCCAATTTCGATTTTCCTTCTCAGATCAGTTACAGAATTCCTTCCAAATCAATTCTGGATATCGGGGAATACTGGTAGGCACCCTCTATTGTTTACCATCCGTGGTTTCCTTCTCCCAGTTCACCCCATCCGGGGGACCAAAAACGTAGGTGCGGCTCTACTTCCAGCAGATGCTGGGCAGTGCTGCCTGGGGAGCCCAGATAAAGAAATCATAGATAGCACCGCAAAGACCTGTGATGTATAAAAATATATATATTATAATGTAATATTTAATAGATGCCAATAGTTAATAGTTGATAATATAATATATACATCTATAGATGTACACATATTACATATAAGCGTTTGCAATCGAACTGGGTTCTCAGGATCTAGATCATGGGTCATAGATCATCCAACTTTAAATGTGATTTAATGGGTAATTCCCTTTCAACTCTTCATGCTTTTGGTAAGTTTCCTGAAATTAATAGAAACTATTTGCCAGCAGTTGTTTTCACAATGTTCAAGGTTTTCCCCTTATTATTTCAATATAAGATTTACTACAACTTTACTATTGACCTTAAAATGGTGAACTGGATTGAAATGGTGGACTTGGACCTCAACAATAAAGAGGCCATGTGTTTGAGGCTTGGATTCGGTTGATACAAAATGAATGTGAAACATATATGTAAAGTTTTTAGTAGATACTTTGGTCCTGATTAGGGTGCCTCTTCAGGCAGCAAATTGTGCTTGACCTTGGTTGAATACAAATTCAAAGAAAGACGCTTATCAGGGAACTTCTTCGCCAAGCGCATTTGAATTGATTTTTGTATTGGGGCGACGCTACAGATTGGACATGATTGGACAAGTGACTTCTAGTGAAGAAAACTGATTCTTATTAGTATTATTAGGAACTTTTTCGGCGAGCACATGTTGATTTACGTTCGTATGTCGATATTTCAATTAACTTTACATGGTTTTGGTCCAGGCGCTGCTTTCAGATTCCAGGTCCGGGTGTGCGCGGACACCTCCTGTATAACAAATGTCGCACTTGTACTAATTACAATTATTTTTCACCTGGTTTTAACATGCTTTAACATGTTTTGAACTATTTGGGTGGGTTTGAGCATTAATTAGGGGGGCAGGGGAAGGGAATACTTAAATTCAAGCCTCTTTCCATGGAGCTTTCAAAAAGCATGGGGCCGGATGCGTTAAAGTCTCAGACTTTTTTGCCAAACACATCTCTGCGGGCTTCGCGGACTTTTTGCAGCCGATTATGATCTGCTGATTCTTTTCAATCGCGGAAAAATTCTTTGTGAACTTGCAGAAACTGTGGCTGTCAGTCTTGAGGCAAGCGCTGGGATGAGCCTTGCCTGTGTGCGGCTTTGACAGCAGCCTCGCACGCTGAAGGTTGCCAGTTCGATCCTTGCCGGGTGTACTTTCCATTGCAGTGATGCGCAAAGTGAGGAGCAAGGTGAGGCCAGGCGAGGCCAGGCGAGGCTAGGCAGGCAGAACGAGGCCTCGCAGAGCAGCAGCATCATGGGATCAAGAGATGCAGGGCCAATGTATGGCACTAAGCAAAACTTGATCCTGGCAGGACCCGAACCTGCAATCTTTGATTCCGAAGACCAACGCCTTATGCATTAGGCCACTGGAACCTGCATGCAAAGCCAAGGAAGGATCAGAGTGAATGCATAGCGCTGGGCAGAGCGAGGCATGCAAGAAGATCAATACGAAAGGAGAAAAAATGACGGCTTCAACGCGAACTGCTTTGGCCTTCTCATTCTCTGACTGGAGAAGCGCATCCAATTTGGGTGCCGCCATGTGCTGGCAAAACCACCACACAGGTCAAGCGGAAAAATGTTGGATACAGCTGCAAAACATGCATCAAGAACATACACACACATATATATATATAGACACACACACACGCACGTATTTGTATTTATAAATAAACAAGTATATATATATATATACAGATGTATATATACACACATATCACCTTGGATAAAAGCACACGCAAGTATATAAGAAACCCATGCACAACGCAAGAACTTCAACTTGTGTTACATAGATCGAGATCACAAATGTTGCTGAAACCTCTTCTGTAACTCCAAATTCATCATAAACATTCGCAGTTTTCAAAAATGAAGCCACCAGGATCCCACTGCAACGCCTCATCGTGGAAGAGAATCCGAGGTAAGAAGTAAACATGTTCACCTTAACTTCACAAAACACTTGTGGCCCCCAATGCGCAAACTAAAATCTGTGTTTTGCCAGGCGCAGGGAAATCTGTGGGCACTATATAACTTGAAACCGCAACATATAAATACCCAGTTGAACTTTCAGTGAATCCAGGCTTCGAACCAACGTAACCCAAATGCAATCCAAGCCACCCAAAACCCAGTGAAATTTAACAACTTTATCAAGGTGAAACCTGTGTCAGCAAAGCCATCGCAAGAAGATCATGTTCAAGAACCATGAGACATGAAGTTCAAAAGTCTGATGTATATATATATACACGTATATATATATATATATATTTCACGCCAAGCAAACGCAAGAACTCACTGGTTCGATAGATCCAAGAACAATGTTTTTTAAACAATCGAACAATGCAAACTGCATTGTGCATAATTAATGCAGTTTTCATAAGACACCAACAGCCAACAGTGCAAACTACATTATGAATAATGTACTTTGCACTGTCTGTAGTAAATTTACTTTTTTCGAAGAAGGTTTAAATTCGTAAAAAAAAACCAAACTAAAATTTACTAACCATAGCAAACTACTTCGAAACTAAATTTCATAAAATTTGAACTTATAGGTATGGTAACATGGTTTGGGTAAAAACTTGATAAATTGATGATAAAACCATTGCAAAACCAATCTCACAACGTGTGACGATCTTGAAAGTCGAGACACCATGACGAGCCTGCTTCTGCACATAAATGATGTGGGCCCACACTGCTGTGCAATCCTTTGGTTGTGTTGCCCTTTATTGCCGCTGCACTAGAATTTGGCTCATTTGCCTCTCGTTGGACGTCCAACCCTGCTCTTTCAATGCACATTTTGATCGCCCTTCCATTCCATGTCTTTTTGAAGGTTTCGAAGTCTTCTTGCGCATGCATCTTGCACCCTCTGAAGCCCTTTGTATGTTGTCTGGGCAGCCATATCAAGATATAAGTACCGTTGTCATTACCTCATCTTGCCGTGTATTTGGCTCAGAGACAGTAGTGATTGGCCATGGGCACCACCTGGTGCTGTCGCCGGCGCAGGCCGGAGGGAGCGCCCATCGACCCTGCAGAACCAGCGCCACCGCAGATCGGCCCTGCAGGAGTGCAAACAATTTTTGCGGACTTTAGTGTGGTTTGGTTTTCAGCCGAACTCCACTACACAAATTGTGTACCTGACTTCTGCTGAACAAAAATCTCGGCGGAAGTTTGTATTCAGACCTTTAAAAAGGCGCTTATCAGGGGACTTCTTCGCCAAGCGCGTCCTCATTGATTTTTGTATCGGGGCAAGGCTACAGATTGGACATGATTGGACAATTGACTTCTTAGTGAAGTAATTTGATTCTTGTTAGCATTATTAGGAACTTTTTCGGCGAGCACATGTTGATTTACGTTCGTATGTCGATATTTCATAATTAACTTTACATGGTTTTGGTCCAGGTGCCGCTTTCAGATTCCAGGGCCGGGTGTGCGCGGACACCTCCTGTATAACAAATGTCGCACTTGTACTAATTAATGACATACAGTTTTACTCTCCCGGGGGTTTTAAGTGTGGGGAGCACTAGGATATGAAAAAATAAATGGTTCAATTCAGACCTAACAGTGATGTCACCATATCACAGTCAGCTACCGCATAACCGATTGCACAAATTTGTATGTTATCTGCATTTTTTTGAAATAAATATATATATATATATTATATATATATATAGAGAGTATATGTTTAATAATGTTTAATAGTTTCTATTTATATATATATATACATTGTCTATTATGTTTGGCATAAAAGTCAATTATACGCATCCTGTTCTCGATGTCCGGGACTTGTCCGTCCCCGTTGGATCCCCCAGCTCGGAACGGCTGAGGTGTGGAACAACAAAGACTTCGAGACCTTCTTTGAAGGTCACTACGAAGAATGGGACTTTGATGCCAAGAATCTGAGCTGAAAATTCGTTTTTTGTTAGGCTAAGTAATGGTTTATTTTTTCCATCCAGACCTGGATTATTTTGGATTGATGGTATAATTTCATATGATTTTGGGGGTGGTTTATTATATATTGATTTACCAACATTAATGGGAGGTGTTTAGGTCCATGCAGGAACGTGTTTTTGTTGTTTTTTGATGGTGAGGTCGCACAAGAGGAGGACATTTAACTGATTGAAATTTCAGTCATTTTTGGGAGGTGGGCAAAGTTGGGGCCGCAGTTAAACCAATTGAACATCAAGTGCCTCAACAGGACTTCTGCCCGGCATCTAGGTGTTCGGGCAAGCTTTGCTGGTGACTAATTACCTTTAGCACAACCCGGCAGTGTGATCTTGCCGCTATTTCTCTGTAAATTTGTTGTTGAACCTGGCACCCAGGAAATCGCGAGTGCGAATGCGACCGGATGGTCCGCTGATGTAGGGGGCCCATTGATGCAACTGGTGCAACTGCTAAGTCTGCAAAGTTGTGTGTTTCTCGATCTGTGCATGAATGACGGTATGATAATGATGATAGATCATTAATGATAATTAAATATGTATCATTTGTATCTAATATGTATGTTTGTACTGTATATATATATATATATTATTGTGTTTATGTCGGGAACCCAAGCGATCCCTAGTTTGGGCAGTTAAATCCGCATTTTCGATGTTTGATTGCCCGTAAATTTGGTAAACAACCTCCATCTTTGAGGGGCACATCCCTCGTTAGAAACATCCCATTCTATCCCCATGCTGGTCGGTTGGTATCATAACATCCCACTTGTTTTTCTTTCTAGTCATTTGTTCCCATTGTACTCCATTAATAGGATTGTCATTCATTTAAAAGTTCTGTATAAACTAACTAAAACTTATAGGTTCAGCAACGAACAAATCCTGCCGGAACAGGCCGAATGTCATGGCTAGAACACTAATTCCTACCCTCTGGCTATTTCATGTAGCGAGCTGGAGAACTATGGGAAGTCACCATTATTTAAAAGTAAATCATTAAATGATGTTTACCATCGAACTTTTCACGGGCCATGGCTTCCATGCCTAACACTGATAACTGATTAATGGAATATTCAGAAAACAAACAACACACTAGCAACACTATGAATGGAGTCTCATTTCGGGCATTAATACCCATTCAGTTCATAGCCGCCATATTCATAGTTGTTTTTAGTGACTATCAAGTTCACTCATTTGGAAGTTCACACCACAAACAACCATGAATTCCCATGACAAATCAATGAATTTCCAAGCCATGAATTTCCCCACTTCTCAGGCGCCAGGCTGCCAAGGCCTCAAAGGTGGCCATCAGTGCCTGGGCCAAGTGGTGGATGGGGTTTTTTGGGCTCGGGAAATTCGTGAAACCGGACATGGGTAATCCATCATGAAAAAATATTAAACACCCTAAAAATGGTCCCAATATGTCCCAATGGAATGTGGATTGTCCCTACTTTTTACCATGGTATACCATGCTTTCATTTCGGGGGTGTTTAATATTAGGGATTAATCCATCATGAAAAAAACAATCTCTGTCCAAGCTAGAACATTTCCGCTGATTTTTTTGCTATTTCAAAAAATGAATTTTCCAGTTCAACGTCTCAGGTTTTCACATCCCAAGCCCCATTTAAACGGTATATAATCCCTTCCGCCACTAAACACCCACCAGAAACCATGGTAAAAAGTATGGGGATCCACAGGTCCCCGGATCATGGATAGGGGGTGTTTAATTATATATGGGGGGATGGGATGAAACCATGCACCTTCTAGTAAACATACAAAAAACTATGGAAAATCACCGTTTTAAATATGTAAATCAACTATTTCCATGGCCATTTTCAATAGCTATGTTAGTTTACTAAGAAGGTTCTGCCGGGGCCCCAAAAACCCAAGCATCTCTGCCCCAGATGGCGCTTCGCAATCCCCCATGGACGTCGATGGTGGTGCGGGGAGCACTGCCGGGACCGCCTCCCCTGAGCCCAGTGGGCTGGGGGAGACGCTGAGTGTGGGAGCCAAGGGGGGCGAACTATGGAAAAAAAACATGTTTAATAATGTGTAATGGGTAAGTCATGGAACAACCAATGAAACACACCATGTCTTTATAGGTAAGTCATCATAGATCATCAGAAGTTTTTTCTTTTCATGGGCCATGGCTTCCATAGCTAACAAATTGCAAGTGCTAGTTGGGACAAAGTTTGGGGGATTTGAAGATGACTTTGTCCCAAAGATGCTTTTACTTTTACCAATAGATGAAGATGCTTGTGGGATTATTGTTTTTACTTATTATATACTCTTCAATGAAGCCATTTGAGGGAACATCTTGACCAGAAACCATGTTTTTCTGGCCCCAACTTGATTGGTGTTTCTGGTTGCGATTCTCCATTAAGCCTATGCTGAGACATTTGGGTGGGCTGGCTGTTTCATAGACGATTTTGATGTTCTACTGTTGATTATGAACCATGTATTCTTCACTATATTCCAGCTTATTATCATGCCCTTTTCTGGTTGAAACCTGACCCTGGGACGCTGGCTGGCTGTTCGAGGGATGTTTGTCAACGGACATGTAGGAGTTACAGTAGCCAGCAAATACATGGGGAGAGTGTATCACAGAATTCTTTTCCAACAGACCGGGGGTTGGAGGTTTCAAAGATGTTTTTCTTCCAGCGAAAAATAGGGATTCACCAGCAACAAAAATCAGTCCTACTCACAATGGACATTTTATTTTTGTTCACACACACACAGAAATACTGTAGGTAGATAGATAGATAGATGGATGGATGGATGGATTGATGGATGGATGGATAGATAGATAGATAGATAGGTAGGTAGGTAGGTAGGTAGATAGGTAGATCGATAGATAGATAGATAGGTAGATAGATAGATAGATAAATAGGTAGATAGGTAGATAGGTAGATAGGTAAGAAAAGATATGATATGATAAGATAAGAACGATAAAACAATAAGATAAGATGATAGAAGATACGATACGATAAGATAGATAGATAGATAGAGATAGATAGATAGATGGATGGATGGATAGATAGATAGATAGACACATACATGGCCGTTCCTACATGCCAGTAGAGGTCTTGGCCCTTCAGCCTAGCTGTTTTGGCTCCCCCAATGACACAGGGCGCGCCTGTGGCGCGCTGCGGCGAGCATGGCGTGCCGCGAAGTAACAGGGTCTCAAGGGAAGCTTGGCTCTTGAATGGTTTTGTCTGACAGTAAAGATAATAAAGCAGCCTTCAAAATCCAATAATTTATCATCACCCATTGAAATGAATGTAAATGGAGGTATAGCCATGTATAGCCCATTTTTAGACACAAATGATACTGGGTCAACTCTGGGTACGATGTATTCACCAGCTGAGAAAATATGTTGTCGCTATCTCTGATTGGCCCTGAAAACATGATTAAATGACAAAACTGTCAAAAAATCCCCTTTTGTGAATACAGGCAAGTCGTCCACTGTGAATGTACTGTAAAATTCATACAGTGGCTTATGGGGTTAATCTGTCAAAAATCTTATTATTGATTTTCTTAGGCCCATGGATTTCCCACACAAACCCCTGAAAACACCACAGAAACACACAGAAACCCTTCTCACAAACACCATGGATCCCAACTGAAATCCCATTCAAAGCCACTCAATCTCGAAAGGTTTCCCAGGAAACCCCTGCGGCTTGCCAAGTAAAGCACAATCAAATGTTGCACAAACATTTTTGTCTTTGTTTTTTGCCATTCCAAAAACCTATGGCCAGCCTCATCAAAACCTAAACAGATCCCACTGAATGCTAAACAACCACCACAAAAACCTTAACAATCCCACCACAATCCCAAACATGGGCCAAACCTTGCAGCAAACCCAAGAAAAACTCCTACCAGAATCTCAGAAATGGTGAAATCAGCCAGCAAATCCGTTCAACAATTCGTACTTATGCCAGCCACCCCTTTCCTTTTGCGTGTGGGCATGATGCTGTCTTTGATCTAAAATGCCTTTCTTAGAAACAAATCAGTGGGAGGCACCCACTGATTTATCCATCCAAAGAACGAACACCTGCAAATATCCATAAAGATCCCATCAAGAACCCGCAAATGTGCAGATAGATATATTTAAGTTTAGATTCCTTTGGGGGTTCCATTAGCTTTTCACAGATGAAGATTTAAACAAGAAGGCCCGCAGCATGTTAGCCCCTTCAACCACCCTAAGAAAAATGGGAGATAGTTGCATGGCTGCTATGTTAGATTCCTGGATTGATCTGGGGGTATCGTTATTCTCCAATTTATGATGACCATTTCTAGTACCGTCACAATGGCCGAATTCGTACTCGCAGGTAAACAGATACCATCAGATACCAATATATGCAATCCAGTACCTGGAGCATGATAACTAGAAGCAAACGACTTACCTCAAAAACCTTCGAATGAACTCATGAACTTGAACATGACGATCAAGTATATTTAGATATATACATAGGTTTATATAGGCTTATAGTATAGTTTCCTTCTCTCTCACTCTCTCTACATATCTCTTCCTCTCCCTCTCCCTCTCTCTCTGTCTCTATCGGTGTCTATATATATATATACACATATGTATGCCACATAATATAATTTAATGTCATGTAATTGATGCCTGCATGCATGTACGTATGTACTATATGACAATCTGTATTTGTGCGATGACGTAAGTGTTGTTTTGGGTACCTTTTCTCGCCGTTGCTATGCAGTTTCTTGTTGCCGAAGCGGGGGCGTTGCACACGATGCTCGCGGTTCTTAAGGGCGAATCCCCATGGGTTGTTACATGTTGTGATTGTCATGTACCATCCCCAAAATCCTGCAGAAAGTACGACAAGTCCAGAAATTCAGCACCTGAGGTGCACAAGTCTGGCTCAGCCTCCATGTCCAAGAGTTTTGAACAGGACGGCCAGGCAATCCAGCCTTTGCGTTTGAAGCCGAAAGACGCTGAGTTCTTGCAGGAGGGGTTGGATCAGTTCCATCTTGGGACATGGATTTTTTCCGGATGATCAAGGATGATCCGGTAGGAAGGGCATTTTTTTTGACCAAAACAAAGGGATTTCAACGTTTTTTTTTGATTTAAACCCAGGAAAGTGGAGGACAACTCCACCCGATTTTTGCGTTTCTTATAGTATTTAATGGTCTGGGGTTAATGGTCGATGCCCTGGTGGCTGGTCACGGGGCTAGTGGGGTTTGTTCATCAATCACAATTTATGGTTTCAGATTCGGATCTCCGATCTCCATTTCTGCTGGATTTTCATGGATTTGTTCCATATTCCCGAGAGCGTCTGAGCGCAGGGTTCTTCCAATAGTGGGGGTCTGTAAAACATCTTCTCATCTTCACATCTTCTCATCTTCACATCTTCACATCTTCTTATCCTCACATCTTCTCCTCATCCCTCATCTTCTCATCTTCACACCTTCTCATCTTCACATCTTCTCATCTTCACATCTTCTCATCCTCACATCTTCTCCTCATCTTCTCACATCTTCTCACATCTTCTCACATCTTCTCACATCTTCTCACATCTTCTCACATCTTCACATCTTCTCATCTTCACATCTTCTCATCTCACATCTTCTCCTCATCTTCACATCTTCTCATCTTCTCATCTCCTCATCTTCACATCTTCTCATCCTCACATCTTCTCCTCATCTTCTCATCTTCACATCTTCTCATCTCCTCATCTTCTCATCTTCACATCTTCTCATCTTCACATCTTCTCATCTTCACATCTTCTCACATCTTCTCACATCTTCTCACATCTTCTCATCTTCACATCTTCTCATCTCACATCTTCTCCTCTTGCCCTTCTGCCCTCTTGCCCTCTTGCCCTCTTGCCCTCTCCTTCTTTTCTATTTCTCTTTTGAAGGCGGGAGCAGGGCAGTGCCAACGAGACGGCACGAAACGCAACCCTTTCGCACGAAATGAGGGTCGATGCGCAAAAACTGAGGTAAAATTGCGATTTTACTTGCGCCGGAGCAACCCTTTCGCACGAAATGAGGGTCGATCGTCAAAAACTGAGGAAAAATTGTGATTTTACTTGTGCCGGAGCAACCCTTTCGCACGAAATGAGGGTCGATCGTCAAAAACTGAGGTGAAATTGCGATTTTACTTGTGCCGGACTTGTCTGTGTGTAAAAGCGCCTGTGTGTAAAAAGCGTCTGTGTGTAAAAGCATCTGTGTGTAAAAGCGTCTGTGTGTAAAAGTGTCTGTGTGTAAAAGCGTCTGTGTGTAAAAGCGTCTGTGTGTAAAAGCGTCTGTGTGTAAAAGCGCCTGTGTGTAAAAGTCTCTGTGTGTAAAAGCATCTGTGTGTAAAAGCGTCTGTGTGTAAAAGAGTCTGTATGTAAAAGGGTCTGTGTGTAAAGCGTCTGTGTGTAAAAGGGTCTGTGTGTAAAGCGTCTGTGTGTAAAAGTGTTTGTGTGTAAAAGCTTCTGCGTGTAAAAGCTTCTGAGTGTAAAAGCCTCTGTGTGTAAAAGCGTCTGTGTGTAAAAGCGTCTGTGTGTAAAAGCGTCTGTGCGTAAAGTAAAAGCGTCTGTGTGTAAAAGTGTCTGTGTGTAAAAGCGTCTGTGTGTAAAAGCGTCTGTGTGTAAAAGCGTCTGTGTGTAAAAGTCTCTGCGGGTAAAAGCCTCTGTGTGTAAAAGTCTCTGTGTGTGAAAGAGCCTGTGTGTAAAAAGCGTCTGTGTGTAAAAGCGTCTGTGTGTAAAAGCGTCTGTGTGTAAAAGGGTCTGTGTGTAAAAGCGTCTGTGTGTAAAAGCTTCTGTGTGTAAAAGCGCCTGCGTGTAAAAAGCGTCTGTGTGTAAAAGCGTCTGTGTGTAAAAGCTTCTGTGTGTAAAAGCGCCTGCGTGTAAAAAGCGTCTGTGTGTAAAAGCGTCTGTGTGTAAAAGAGCCTGTGTGTAAAAAGCGTGTCTCCATACTAACAACAGAAGACTCTGCTCCTCTACGCTCTCGGGCCATCCGTCGTCTAGTTATGTATGTTTTTTGGTATGTTTACTGGATGGTAGCATTCCCAGAATTGGGTTATATGGACGTTGGAATAAACTCACCCAGGAACCCATCTGATCATTTGACCTGGCGATTCTCCAGGAGTCTTGGAAGCTGTTTCTGAACAGGGCTGGCGGTTTGGAACCTGCAGGGCAGGCCTGGATGCGTGCCCCAGGGATGTTTGTTGATTTAGTTTCACTCCAACTCATGGGAATTGAAAAAGATTTCCATGGGATAAGTCGGACAGTCGGATACTATAATGTGGCAAATGGATAGAAACCATTCCATCAACTACTTCGCTACCACAAACAGTAGGTAAGCTGTTTGGCAAATCAACCAACTTCGCCCAAAAACACTGGGGCACCCTGGCGTCTTGGGATGCCATTTGGTCCCTGGCTGCCAGGGATACTGATGGATACCCAGTTGGCTTCAACCGTGGTAGCACCGTGGTACCACCCATAATTGCAGAATCCCAATATAACCCATAAACATCTCATAATGTAACATAAATTAACATCATATAACCCACTATTATGGGGATGGTTTTCATGGTTTATGGGGATGGTTGCAGAATTATACTCAGCACCCGACAGCCTTCGAGTCTGCATCCAGATATGGATTGGAGAGCTACGGCTCTTGCTTTACTGTATCATAATTTTTGGTGGTCACTTTTTAGTGGTAGTTGAGAGTTTTTTTTGCATCACGGTGAGTTCTCAAATGGATTCAAATGGGTTTATTTGAGCCTTTGAGCACACCCTTTGATAATGTAACGTAGCCATGGAAAATCGCCATGTTTCATATAGGTTATTTTCATCATACAGTAAATCATGTATGAATGGGCAATCACACATTGCTATTTTCAATAACCAGAGGGTAGGGCGTGAGAAACACTGATGGTGGTTTAGCCGCTTGCCGCTGTGGAAGGGCCCCACCACTTTCAGACACCCAGATATCAGTTGGTTTTATATCCCCATAATTTACATCATGCCACTGTTATATCCTATGATAGCATTTTTTTCCACACCCAACTATCATGTCAAGTTGGTATATCCCACCGCCTGACGAAAAAAATAGAGACACCTGCAGGAATTCTACCGACTTCTCTTTGAAAAGGAGCCAGAGCTCAAGAAGCTGCAACTTGGGCCGCAAAGTGGGTGCCATTGAGATTATCGTCATCGTCATCATCGGTCATCATCAACAACAACACCGATTTGATGTGTTTGTTTATTGTTAATTATGCATTTGATTGTTTATTTATTCATGATTATATATTCATGTATTATGTATTTATTTATATACAGTAGTTGGTTTTTTTCAACAACCACCTCTGTGATAGGTCACTAAATAATCTTAATATAATAAGCATTTTGAAAGCGCGCGCACACACGTGAATCGCAGTAATGAGATAACCACATCTGAATAAGCATAATAAATGACAAAAATCAGAATAGTAAATAATGACACAACCGAGCATATCATCTGGATGAATTACTATGCCCTCACCGTGTCACAGGAATGAGGTTTTTCTAAGCGGAACCATCCCCAAATGGCTGAAGTTTGACCAGCGATTTTCAGGTCAGCAACTTATAATTCTGCCAGGTGTTTGATGCTCCAATCAAACATGGCAATTGGGAAACTTCGGTAAAATTGGAGGCGCAAAAAATGGGAAAATTCACTTTGAAATCCTGAATGAGTATAAAATCCTTTATATGGGAAACTTATCAAACTAAATGGATGGTTTCTCATCTCCTTTTTCTCATCCGCTGGCTTTTTGCTCACGCCCCGAGGTTCAAAGTGCCCGAGATGTCACAGCAAGCGGCATTCATGCGCGCCATGACAAGGTATGTCTCGTTCCTTCGGTGACGTCGACATTTTGGGGTTCACCAGGGCAAATTTTTGGGCGAAGTTGATGGATTTTCATGGATTTTCATCTTTTTATGCTTAGACAAAACCCACGTGTTTGGCACTTGGCATGCCCATTTTGAGACAAAGCCATGCGTTGGCATCGGCAAGTTTTGGGCCACGTGGCACTTGGGGAACTGCCATGGTTTCAGCACGTGAAATCAGAACTGCCACAGCTGTTTCCCTAAGATCAATTGGCCAGCAATGCAGGCCTGCATTATGACTCAAGGGTTTTCATAGGGTAAAAGGAAAAACATAAAAGGCACGGTATATACGAAAAGGTTGCCTGCCAAGCGGAAGGTGGCATGTCAAAGGCGAAAAGTTCTGAAACCAAGGTCAAAGAAGTGTTTGCTGTGCCCCTTAGCAACTGGAAAGTCCAGTTGGACTGCCCGAAATAGATTTGAGATGAATCCAGTGGCTGAGTGGTGGGGATATATGGGGGTTTCCAAAAATAAAGGGTACCCCACAAAAGGATTGTTTATACATGTTTATAATGGAAAAGCATATTGAAATGGATTATTTAGGGATACCCCTATTTTAGGAAACCTCTATATAGAAGCTCCTAGTATATATTTAACTTTGAGATTAGTTGTTATGGTGCAGTTGCCATTCATGCAGGTACAGACGGCTTGAATTGGATGCATGCCCAAAATCAGAGCGCTTTCTTTTTGGTTCATGTCAGTTTCCCCAAGGATTCTTCATCTTCCAAACATATAGGGTTGCAAATGAAAAATCATGGGCAATCTTCGAACCCTTTCCGGCTAATATTACCGACTCACCAAACAAACCCCTGTGTTTGTCTATTCATGCCTTGGGGACCCAAAGATTGGGGTATTCCATCGTATTCCATAAACTGGGTTCAATTGGATTAATCTTCCCAAGTGTTCAGAGACCTTTCTCATATTTTGATCTACCCTCTGGTAAACATACAAAAAACTATGGGAAATCACCATTTCTAATGGGAAAATCAATTATTTCTATGGACAATTTTCAATAGCAAACTGTTAAATGACCAGAGGGTATATACTATAGCCATCTATAGCCTATGATATTCCATGGTATATCATGGTATATTCACTCACTTTTTTTTTGTCTATTGGTATTCCATGGTCCTCATTTCATAGAACGGCTCGCGTCAGTTTCAACGCCCAGGCTGCTGGCACAGCCAGAGCAGCTCAGGACTGCCATTGAAATGCTTGCCTTTATGCACGTGTCCCTTGGTCAAGTGGAACTTCCTGGGATGGACTGGATCATGATGGATCCAAGGATCAGTTATGGATCGACCTGCCGATATATTCATGTATATATATATATATATGGCGAATACAAAAGGGTGGCGTTCCACTTCTGAAGCGCTACATTGGTTTAGTTAGTTCAGTAGTTTGACTAGGATTTGTGGTGGATATATCCATATATGTTTTCGTGGAATTTAAGACCCTTTGGTAATCATGGCAAATCGTCAGTTCTATATGCTTTAAAGCTCAAATCGTCGGTAGATAATTTCCCAGCAAGCCATGTTGTATTACCAGCATGTATCCTAAGGGTATCTATTACGTGATGTGAGTCACAAGGGCAACAAGCCAAAAACTAATTACTTTACTTCGTGTGATCCCCACCATGACATTTATACATTTTCTTGCTGGCAAATCTTCTGGCATTCTATCTGACATATCTTCTGACATTCTATTTGGCATTCTATCTGGCATATCTTCTGGCATTCTATCTGGCATATCTTCTGGCATTCTATCTGACATATCTTCTGGCATTCAATCTGGCATTCTATCTGGCATATCTATCTGGCATATCTTCTGGCATATTTTCTGGCATTCTATCTGGCAAATCTTCTGGCATTCTATCTGGCATTCTATCTGGTATCTGGCATTCTATCTGGCATATCTTCTGGCATATTATCTGGCATTCTATCTGGCATATCTTCTGGCATATATTCTGACATATCTTCTGGCATTCTATCTGGCATATCTTCTGGTATATCTTCTGGCATATCTTCTGGCATATCTTCTGGCATTCTATCTGGCATATCTTTTGGCATATCTTCTGGCATATTATCTGGCATATCTTCTGGCATTCTATCTGGCATATCTTTTGGCATATCTTCTGGCATATTATCTGGCAAATCTTCTGGCATTCTATCTGGCATATCTTCTGGCATTCTATCTGACATATCTTCTGGCATTCTATCTGGCATTCTATCTGGCATATCTTCTGGCATATATTCTGATATATCTTCTGGCATTCTATCTGGCATTCTATCTGGCATATCTTCTGGCATTTTCTTGTGGCATTCTATCTGGCAAATCTTCTGGCATTCTATCTGGCATTCTTCTGGCATTCTATCTGGCAAATCTTCTGGCATTCTATCTGGCATATCTTCTGGCATATTATCTGGCATTCTATCTGGCATATCTTCTGGCATATCTTCTGGCATATCTATCTGGCATATCTATCTGGCATATTTTCTGGCATTCTATCTGGCAAATCTTCTGGCATTCTATCTGGCAAATCTTCTGGCATTCTATCTGGCATGAGGTCCGGCAGGGAACACTTTGGCGTGGATACTCGCGGTTGAGGTCCGGCAGGGAACACTGGGCGTGGATGGTCGTGGTTGAGGTCCGGCAGGGAACACTGGGCGTGGGTGGTCGTGGTTGAGGTCCGGCAGAGAACACTGTGGATCGCGGGTCGCAGTTGAGCAAGGACGACGAGGACGACGAGGACGACGAGGACGACGAGGACGACGAGGACGACAAGGACGACAAGGATGACAAGGAGGACGAGGAGGACGAGGAGGAGAGGAGGAGGAGGAGGAGGACGAGGCAGGAGGCAGGAGGAGGCAACTGACATAAAATCTAACAACCCTCACCTGGCAGGTGGGTAAAAACATGCTAGTTATGAGCAGGTATGAAAATGCAAACAAATAGGCAAAGTATGGCGGAGTCTATTCAAAGAACGTTCTACACTCGTAGTTGGTACACACACACATATATATATATACACAGATAGATAAATATATAGATAGATTAGATAGATATAGATAGACATTGATAGATTAGATAGATTAGATAGATTAGATAGATAGATAGATTAGATAGATTAGATAGATTAGATAGATTAGATAGATTAGATAGATTAGATAGATTAGATAGATTAGATAGATTAGATAGATTAGATAGATAAGATAGATTAGATGGATTAGATAGATTAGATAGATTAGATAGATTAGATAGATTAGATATATTAGATAGATTAGATAGATTAGATAGATTAGATAGATTGGATAGATTAGATAGATTAGATAGATTAGATAGATTAGGTAGATTAGATAGAATAGATAGATTAGATAGATTAGATAGATTAGGTAGATTAGATAGATTAGATAGATTAGATAGATTAGATAGATTAGATAGATTAGATAGATTAGATAGATAGATAGATAGATAGATGGATAGATAGATGGCTAGATAGATAGATAGATGGATGGATAGATGGTTAGATAGATAGATAGATAGATAGATAGATAGATAGATAGATAGATAGATAAATAGATAGATAGATAGACAGACAGACAGACAGACAGATAGATAGATAGATAGAAAGATATATTGATAGATATAGATAGATATAGATAGATATAGATACAGATATATACATATAGATAGATAAGATAGATAGCTAGATAGATAGATAGATAGATAGATAAATCAATAGATAGATATATTGATAGATATATTGATAGATGTAGATAGATATAGATACATATATATATTTATATATACATAGATAGATAAGATAGATAGCTAGATAGATAGATATGTTATATGTTATCTGTTATATGTTATCCAGTTTTTATTGTGGAGAATCGTCCCACTTCTGTTCATGATATCCTTCTGAGTTTCACTCGTTTACTTTGCCTGATGGGAGGTTTGTTTTGTTGATATTCAACAAGTCTCCCATCCCCCCTCTAGATCCTCTAGTATAGACATGATTTTGCCTTGATGTCCCATGATTGGAATGACAACCCCTTTGGATTGCTGCAATATCTCACTTCTTGTGTTGCCAGAGCTCTAGATTCAATAAGAAAACTTTTAAGATCACACTTTCCTATGAGCTTTGCCGCAGTCCAAAGGTGAACAAAATCCATTGTGTCAGGCGGCGTTTCATAGACCGGTGCCCAGGAATTTGGATATCTCGGAGACCGGGATCTTTGCCTTTTCAGAATCCCTGCTGGAGCCTGCTTGGCAGCAGAAAGGTCGATTTCATGGGATTTTCTGGTGTTCCATCAAATAATTAAGGTAAACCCGATAAACCATCAAAATCGCCAATACATTTGAAACCATCCCAAGTAGTAGGTTTATGGTTGGTTTTCCCACATTTACATTTATGAGATTGAATATGTTGCTGAGGGTGGATCCCTAGGGGGTTCGTACTCATCACGTAAACGTCATTAGTTTGTGCTGTTGATGGTTACCTGGTAAACTAACATAACTGTGGTAAATCACATTTTTTATGGGTAAATCAACTACAAATGGCCATTTTCAATAGCTATGTTAAATTACCAGAGGGTATACCCCGTTACATTCACAGACAAATCTTAAAACATCCCATTATATCAATAAATCCTACAGGAAGGGGCCCCAGTTCGTTAGCTAAGTTGTCGTAAATAACTTGATGAACGATTGGGTTGATAGGGGATATAAATATAGTATCTATAGTTGAAGAGCTTATCAACCAACTTATATCAACCCCCATTTCCGGAGCGAGGTGTGTGGAAGATCAAGTCACCGACTGGGACCCCACGGACGTGGAAAGAGTCATGGTGTCCCTTAGCTGGAGGATGGGGAAATCTATGGGGAAACTATAACTACATGATACTACACGCACAAATGTATGCAGGTGGCGGTAGGCAGATATAGGCAGATATTGGCAGATATGTAGTTATAAATAGGCGTATAGATAGACAGACAGGCAGATAGTAAGATAGGTAGATAGATAGAAAGGCAGACATATCGATAGATATCGATAGGTATATAGAGATAGATAGAGATATTTAAAGATAGATATAGACAGAAGCAGCTATTTAGAGATAGATACATATAGACATGTTTAGGTATAGATACAAAATGATATATATATATATATATACACAGTAGATGAATACATATATATAGAGATATATAACTATATATATATGTAGATGTAGATTTAGATTTAGGTATTGATATAGATATTTTAAATATGCAGACATATGGATAGAGATAGATAGACAGTTAGACAGATAGATAGATATTTAGCAACATACCATCACATGTCTATGTATATATATATATATATATACACACGCCAAATTATACCACAAGATGAAAACTGCAAGGTTGGTCATGGTTGGGGCTCGCCTTCAGCCCTAGCCCCGCAAGCGGCGATGGAATGGGAGAAATGTGGATTCCAGTTGCTGGTGGATGTCAAAGATACATGCCATGAACATGCCATGGGGGGTTCTCAAAATCGCGGATTTCCATGTCAACATGGGTTTCAACTCTAAAATTGTCTAATTTTGGATGATTTAGGGGTACCCCCATTGTGGAAAAGAACATGTATGCATGTATAGATACACATATATATATATACATATATTACATATGGGCAAATTATAGTGACCTCACTGCGACCTCACTGGAATGATGGTTAGTAAGGGGAGTCATCACCAAATAGCCTTATTTCAGGTTAGTGAAATACTATGATTTGACAACATATATATATATATATACACATACAACTTATGATCAAATACGAATGTGCACGCGCGCACACACATTGCAAGGACATGTGCACAAGATATAAACATATATATATATATATACACATGCGTACATAAATAAATATACAGAGAGAGAGAGAGAGACGTGTGTATTACATTGTATTACATAACCTATTTGATATGTATGTATCTATTCTACATGTTTGTTTGTCATCTTATCGCTGTGTGTGTTGAGACAACTGCAGTCATCTTGAAACGATGACAAACACAGCCTTTTTATCCATGGCACGTACCTTTCAATCACAAACGAGTTACTGTTGGCAACCACTGAGTGGTGCAGTTCCAGTTCCAAGATGTTATAAACGGACATATTTTCCCATGATTGTAGGGGTTACCATCGTTATTTAACATAGCCGCGGAAAATCACCATTTCCAATAGGTAAACCCAGGTAAACCATCTATAAATGGGCCATTTTCCATGGTTATGTTAGTCATAACCAGATGGTAAATGGACATATTTTCCCATGATCACAGGGGTTACCCTCCGGTAAACTAACATAGCTATTGAAAATGGCCCATCTATAGTTGATTTACCTATAAAAAATGGTGATTTTCCATAGCAAACTGTTAGTTTACCAGAGGGTATATCCCAAGAAGTTGCGGCTGCCATATCTTCATGGCCCCGTGGTTTCACGATGTTTCACGGAGCCGAGGCTGCTCACGGACTTGACGGGCTACATCGGCAAGGCCTTGTTATGACTGACATAGCCATGGAAGCCATGGCCCATAGAAATAGATGGTTTATAGATGGTTTACCTGTTAAAAATGGGTGGATTTTCCATGGCTATGTAAAAAATAACCGGATGGTAGTTATAGATACCAGAAACCATGATAAACCATGGTTATTGAAGAATGTGAGTTCCCCAATGCCCAACAGAACCTACCGTGACTGCTTGAAATCCAACCCATAAAAATGGTGATGACGTGGGGATGGTGCAGATGGCATTGGGTTTACCGCATTGCTTTGACGGTACACAGATGTTCCTACCAGACCGGCCACGCTATTTTTTGGTAAAGGGACATGTTGGCTCAACCAACCACACAGCGTAAAACTTGGTTTGGTAGGTACAACGGCAACCTTTAAGCATTTATATATAGGAGACATTGGGTGAAAACAAAGATGCCCAACTAAAGGAAAACTTCTTGCAGGGCCCATTTGTCCCATCAACAACTATCCACTTTATTGTTTTATTATGTTTCATCTATTTTTCAACTGGTTGATGGCACAATGAAGTTCCAAATTCTGGTGGTGTAATATGCCTATCATAAATTCCCGTTGTGCTAGGTTCAGCATGTGATTGCTGGTTCATATTCCCACGGTTGGTGGTTACTTTATGTAATCCCAAAAAAGGATTTTATCCAAGTATTTCAGCGATTGCGACATTATAAATATAACATATAAACATAACATGTCCAGAATAATTGCGACATTATAAATATAACATATAAACATAACATGTCCAGAATATCATTGGTTGAACATTACCCTCAGGTAATTCAACATAGCGAGGTCGAACATGTCCTTTTTTTTCGATGATTTCTGATGATTTCACCATATTTCACCCATGAATCTCATGGAGGTTTCCAAAGTCATGGAGTAACCTAAATCCAGTCGTCATGATTTTACTATGATTGAAACCCATGGTGACTATGATTTTACCATGATTTTACTATATTTTACTATGATTTTACGAGTGAACCCCATGGTGACTTGGGATGTAAAATGGATAAAATGGGGATCCACTGCGCTGCCAGCGCAGATGCTGGCAGGTCATCGCGGCCGCCAAAGAGTCGAGTTCCGAAGTGCAGACCTTGTTGCGACACTTGGCAGTGGGATGCCACGTTGGGGACGTGAATTGGGTATGGATCAATACCTATTAATACCATTTTTAGGGGAATGAACATCCATTTACCAGCTATTTTGATGTGAACTACAGGGGTACAAGGTTTTGACACACTGCCAATTGGCTGAAAAAAACAACATTTTGGATACAGATCCAATAGATCTGGACGATATGACTTAGATATGAAGCATTGAAAATCGAAAAACGACCGTTTCCTCTCAATGCTGTTCAGATTTGATTCAAATCATTTTAAGTCATTATGTATACAATATCAAGATGAATATGGATGGATAAATACAGATGAATCTGCAAACACACATGTATATATATACATACATATATGCATAGCGGGATGGTGATGGATATATATATATATATATTTATAATATTATGTATAATTATGTTTTTCTTGTATATACCAACCTTGCGGATGCATCTCTTGCAGGACATCCAGACTCAGACATGTGGAGAGTTGTTCATGGCAAGGATTCGTTTTTCATTCTCCATGTATGGTATGTTTAACCAACTATATATATATATACTATAAAGTATACATGTTTGTTCTTCATTAATCATGCTGGCTTGTTCGCCTTCTACCAGAGACCCGGCAGCTTACATAACTGTTGTATACAAACATCGCTTGCCATGCAAGGAGTACGACTCGACGGAGAATGTGGGCTAAAACTTGTCACTGAAAATCCAGATGTCATCGGGATTGTTTTTCGGAAAATCAGCCTGTGAGCCAGGAAGTAGCTGGTTGCAAGCGCAAGAGAGGAACATGCAACCTACCAAAACCAAAGAAGCAGAGGCGGCGAAGTGAAGGGTTGGTAACATTAATGATTATTGGAAATCGAGGCCTACTGGCCCCTTTCCATGTTCTTGGGGCCCAAAAAATGCTTTCCCACACCAACGGACGCGGACATCATGATTCAGGTTGGCCGAAGATTCTCGTGTAAGTTGAACATTGAAATTTGATTGTACTCGTTTTGGATTTGCTAAAGATGGTTTGTTTCTTTCCCAATGAGAAATCCACTACTTGCAGAATCTATTTTCTCAGGGAAATCTTCTACAAAAAAAGGGTTGCAGTCCTGGCGCTTCCACCAAGACCTCCTAGTCGTCATTGTCTTGACACCATTTGGTTTTCTTCCCCACCTGCCAGGTGAGGGTTGTTACTGTAGATTTTATCAGAGCTGTTGTCCTCCTTCTCCTCCTCCTCCGCCTCCTCCTCCAGTTTCTCCTCGACCATGTCTGCATCAACTTCCACCTCCACTTCCGCCTTGCCAACTCTTCGCCAAGCTCTTCGCCAACTTCCGAGCTCAGTGCGCACTGCTGGACCTCAACCTCGGACCTTCCCAGCTCAGTGCGCACTGCTGGACCTCAACCTGGGACCTTCCCAGCTCAGTGCGCACCGCTGGACCTCCACTTGGGACCTTCCCAGCTCAGTGCGCACCGCTGGACCTCAACCTGGGACCTCCCGAGCTCTCTGCGCACTGCTGGACCTCAACCTGGGACCTTCCGAGCTCAGTGCGCACCGCTGGACCTCCACTTGCGGGACCTCAACGGCCAGATAGAATGCCAGAAGATATGCCAGATAGAATGTCAGATAGAATGCCGGAAGATATGCCAGGTAGAATGCTAGAAGATATGCCAGATAGAATGCCAGATAGAATGCCAGATAAAATGTCAGATAGAATGCCAGAAGATATGCCAGATAAAGTGCCAGAATGTTTGCCAGATAGAATGCCAGAAGATTTGCCAGATGACATGCCAGAAGATATGCCAGGTAGAATGCCAGATAGAATGCCAGAACATATGCCAGAAGTATGCCAGGTAGAATGCCAGAAGATATGCCAGAAGATATGTCAGATAGAACGCCAGATAAAATGTCAGATAGAATGCCAGAAGATATGCCAGATGACATGCCAGAAGATATGCCAGGTAGAATGCCAGATAAAGTGCCAGAATGTTTGCCAGATAGAATGCCAGAAGATTGGCCAGATAGAATGCCAGATAGAATGTCAGAAGATATGCCAGAAGATATGCCAGATAGAATGCCAGAAGATTTGCGAGATGACATGCCAGAAGATATGCCAGGTAGAATGCCAGATAGAATGCCAGATGATATGCCAGAACATATGCCAGAACATATGCCAGAATACATGCCAGGTAGAATGCCAGAAGATATGTCAGATAGAATGCCAGAAGATTTGCCAGTAACAAAACGTATAAATGTCATGGTGGGGATAACTCGAAGTAACGTAATTTGTTTTAGTATGTTTTAGTGTGTTTGTTGCCATCATGTACCCGCTGATGATTTAACATAGCAAATAATTTGTAATTATTCATAATCGCCATTCTTAATACAGTAGGTAAACCATCGATAAATTGACTATTTTACATAGCCACTGTTGCTTTACCAGGAGCATGTGCGTATATATAATATATATATATGATTATATATGTTTTTTCCCACAACTTCGGAGATGTTTGGAGATTGAAACATGCAGGTCCTGCTGTGTTGCCCAGCCATTGCCATCAAGAAATTGGTGAATGATATGCCCCAAATACCCCCCCACCCAAACCATCCCACACCCTAGTCTAGCATCGGCTGCTCTGTTCTGCTTGAAGGGATTCACAGCCAAGTTTAGTCCAACTTGTTGATGGTTGTATCCCACTATTGATACTAAAAATGATACAATATAATCATATATATATATGTATATATATATTTATAATCATATATATATATATATAATCATATGAATATATATATATATTATTTGTAGATACAGATAGGTGTATATATATATACCATATGGATTGCACGTCCCCTTCGATGAGTCCGTGCAGCCGGACTATCATTGATAGCAAGCGGGGGGCCTTTCCATCACTGCACTTTCTAAGCTGCCAGACCGATCACTTGGACTTCGTGCCTGATGACTCGTTTACAGACAGTTGCTGGGCGCTGCTGGTGACTCATGGGAATTCTGCTAGCAATTTCTGTGATTTTCATAATGGGATTTAACCGATATGATGTTTTTGTCAGGACAACCATGGGATGATATTTTTGGGACAATGGCCAGTTTTTTTAACCAACAATAATATGGGATTTTCAGTAACCAATGATCACCGGGTTTTACCAGGTAGATCCATGTGATAAGAATGGGATTAGAACGGATCATGGGGATATAAGGAAAACAGCATAGTTATTGAGAGGCCGGTTGGGACCAGCGTCACCCAACAAAAACGATATACCATCTGGTAATTTAACATAGCTATTGAAAATGGCCCATTTATAGTTAATTTACCTATTAAAGATGGTGATTTTCTATAGCTATGTTAGTTTACCAGAGGGTAACATGATCTAAATGCTTTGTGCGACCTGATTTTTGCTGATCAATTTCAACGACCTCACGTCGCGGCGTCACTGGCCTCACATCAATCAGACCTCACGGAGCAGCTCGCGGTAGTTCCTTACTGATTTTGTGAAACGCAGCAACACTTCTCCAGGTGGACTCAGGCTCTCTACGGGTGCAACTGTAAGGTGCTGCACTTGAGGCCCTGCGCCAGCATACGATTCTGGACGATGTGCATCTGCACATCAAACAGGATGCTTTTTGAAAGCATTGAGAGCCTGTTGGGTCAGCATCAGCAGGCTTACTTGAAGGTGAGGGATTTTTTCAACACGTTTGATGCGGAGCACTTCAGGCCCTCGCTTTCCTCTGCAGACTTGCCGAGGTAGCCAGACAAGCCGGAAAAAGTGAGCGGAAAAGGGGACGATTAGTAAGGGTAACTATCGCAAAATATCCTTATTTTATCTTACAAGTTATAGTGAATTACTAGAATTTAACCAAAAGAATAGATGGGTTAAAGTTTGCCCATATTGGTTGTTGGTGAACACACTCCTTATTGGGGTCGCCTTTGGGGGGTTAGCTGATAAGTCACTTAAGTGCCTATGGTTGAGATGTTGTCCCTTTAAAATCACTATTCCCGTCATTTCATATTTCCACAATAATAAATAAATATATATATATAGACATGTTCCCCAATGATATTACCAGCATATGTTTCATTATTACTTCTATGCTATTTCAAATATTCCTATTGCTGGGGTTTCTGAAATGGTGGATCCCCCAAACTATGCGGCGCTCAATACTAAAATGATCTAAATTTGGATGATTTGGTGGACGCTCATGTTCGGAAACCTCCATATTATATATATAACATTCCCATTACACATCATCCCATATACACATATACATATGCATGTATATATATATATATAAATATATATATATATATATATATATTTGTATATGTATATTAATAACAGCCGGGGATTTTCTCCAAGTCAGGCTTCGACAAGTCCGGGGAGAAGCAGAACCTGCCGGGTCTTTCCACGGAGAAGACGCCAAAGAAGGCCATGGCAGCAGACGAGCTTTGGCGTGGCAGTGAGATGGTCCTCCATTCATGGGGTTTAATGGTATCTTAATGGTATCTTAATGGGATTTAATGTGGTTTTATTGGATTTGAATGGGATTTTATTGGGCCAAGGGATTTTAATGGGTTTCAATGGGATCTTTACCAATGATCCACCCAGTTAATAAGTTTTAATGTGGGTAAAATAATTTCATAAACCGCCCATGACTGGGAATGGTTTCTACATACCACCTATAAAAATGGTGATTTTCCTGGGGGATGGTGTGTTTATGGCATTGGGAATTACCCACATTCTACAGTTGTTTTTTTTTATCCTCTCTGGCTGATTGTCCTTACAGTTTTGGAAACACATGGAATTCTTATGTAAGCTATCGGCAAAAATTGAAAATTATCTATAAATGGTGGAGAACCTCTAGTAAACTAACACAGCTATGGAAACTGGACAATTTACTTTGATGATCTCTACCTATTATATCCTATTGTTTTAAGGGTGAAATTCAGTTCTAATAGTTTGCCATCAAAAAGTCTTCCAAGAGCTATGTCAAATTACTGCAGGGTATCACGCGCACACACACACATAATGCTCATTATGGGTGCGCTGTGGGTATCACTTTTCCACCACATATTTTACTTTGTATGTAAAATATTGGGCGTCATTGCATATGTAAATATGAATATGTGATACATGGTAAAGTAATGTAAAGTATGGGCATCTTGATAAAGATATGTAAAGATATGTACTGTACGTTTAAAACAATATGAACATGTATCCTCAGGGCCCCACGTTTATGTTGCTGTTAGCAGCATGTTCACAGAAGGGAATAGAATGGAAAACCTTGCAGGAAACGCTGAAAACAACGATGGAATTGATGGAATCGGAAGAAATTGTGTGGACTTGCTTTCAGATTGATGAAATCCAGAGACGTCGTGAACGAAAAATCTGAAAATCGATACTCTCCAGTAAATGAACAGTTCGACCCTGCCAGACAGTGGTTGGAAAAATAGTTTCCAATAAGAATTGGTGATTTTCAGGGTCCAACTGTGAATTTACCAGAGGGTAATCCCATTAAATCCCATTAAATCCCATTAAACTGTGACTATAACCCCATTCTAATCCCTTAAAAAATCATGCCATGTTTCGATCCCAAGGACACTCCAAAGACCAATGGTGGCTCCACGCTGCCCACCAGTTTCTCGGCGTCACCGTGTGGGAGATCTGGGTATGGAAAACCTTCCCTTTTTGGTGGGTAAATCAACTATTTCTATGGCCATGTTCAATAGCTATGTTAAATTACCAAAGGGTACTAAGACTATATATAGACTATAAATGGGCATTTATAGATGTGAACTAATTTATAGATAGATAGATAGGTAGGTAGGTAGGTAGGTAGATAGATAGATAGATAGATATAAATATATATATATATAAATTGATATAAATAGCCGATAATCTCCAAGAAACTGACATAGCTATGGAATGGAAACCGGCCTCTTGAGTTGCATGATCTGCCCCAGTTGCATGATCATTGGCCTCATTTGGGGGGCCAAATGGTGGCATTTCAACACCCCCCGAGATCTGGTGGCTAACCACTGGTGAGGGAAAATCACCGGAAAAAAAAAACAGGTTTTCCCCATTTATTTGATTGAAGGGGGTTCCTCTAAAGCCTTAAATTAATCCAATGATTATGTTTACTGGAGGGAATTCCGGGGCGGCCTCACCAACCTGGCGCGCCATCTTTGGCACCTTGATGCTTCATGTTAGGATGACGTAGCCATTTTGGTGTTGGCAAAGGGAGCGTGTTCTTTGAAGATGCATAGGCAAGTTTTGTTGGTTCCTGGACAGTTTCTTAGCCCGTGCGTAGTTTCATACCCTCATGTTTGTTGCTTAATATTCCATTTGAATCCATTTGATAGATTCCTACGAGGTGGTGGGCCCACTCAGTGATGTAACTGTTGGTTTCTACAGCCTGTTAACTACGACAGTTGTAACAAAAATCCATTACCGGTCATCAAACGTGGCAAAGTCATAAGTCCCTGATTGATGAGTTTCCCAGCCATAAAACCTCTACCCTCTGGTAAACTAACAGTTTGCTATTGAAAATGACCATAGAAATAGTGGATTTTCCCGTTGAAAATGGTGGATCTTTCCATAGTGCCATAGTTCTGGGATTTCGCAGCCATGGTCCCAGGCTTTCAGGAGATGTTCCAAATCAACGCCGCAGTCATGGGATACTCCAGGAGCTCCAGCACTTGGATGCCCGTTTCCAGGACGCCTTCGGACGGGGCACAAAAAAACTGAGAACCTGGAGCTTAGCGAACTATGATGGTTGAAGGTTTTAAAGCTAACAATGTAACTAGGGTCTGTGGTATATGTAAATAAATCAATAAATAAATAAATATATATATATATTATAGTCAATATTCTTTGTAAGCTCACTTGCAGCTGGGGGCACCACATCGAAGGGGACAAGTTGGGTGTGCTGGTGGTAAGTTCAGCACATCAAGGTGATTTGGCCAACCACATGCGCATATGATTCCACAAACAATGCATTTCAAGAGAATAGAATAGCAATGGATTGATTTAAAGGAAAATCTTGGCACCCATTACATTGAATATACCATATTGATAAACCAAATATTGGCATATATATATACACACCATATTGCTATACATTGATAAACCATTGGTTATACAATATTGAAACCATGGCTTTTCCCATGATATATGGGGCTTCCCGTTTTTTTTTGTCCTGAAAAAAACACTCCATTTTCGAATGAATCCTCCATGGGTTCCCTGATGACTCTCTGGTAATTTAACAGTTTGCTATTGAAGGTGGCCATAGAAATAGTTGATGTACCCATTGAAAATGGTGATTTTCCATAGCTACATATGTTAGTTTACCAGAGGGTAAATGGTGGGTTTACCATATATATGTCCTGTTTAATATGCTGGAGGGAAACTGGATGGAAACAATGCCTGGTTGATTCTGGCAGTGTCCCAAAAGCCCTTGTTGGTTGATGAGTTCGGGGGACTATCACAATCCACTATGGTAATCCTGTTCTTGAGCAAGCAGTATCCTGCTGGAAACTAACATAGATGCGGAAAACTATGAAAACCTACCATCTGGTTATGACTAACATAGCCATGGAAAATCACCATGTTTAATAGGTAAACCAGGTAAACCATCTATAAATGGGCTATTTTCCATGGCTATGTTAAATAACCAGAGGGTACCAGTTGTAGATTCTTTTCCGAGGAAACCGTTGGTTTTCCACAGTGTCACCGTAGCTGCTATAGCTCAATGCAACGGACCATGATGCCAAAGCAAGCTCCCAAGATTAAAGACAGAGAAGTACATCTAACTAGATTTAGTGGTAAATGATGATCTATTCCAAACTATGGGTCTTTAAACCTTTCTTAACCAGATAGCATTCCCCTTTTTTTAACCCATCAGCAGAGGTTGTTTTGGACTCGGTCGAGCGGATCGTTTTGCATGTGAACAGCGGTGGACGTATCAAGGAGGAGACAATGCTCTTGGCACTCAGGTGGATTCGAGCTATGCCCGGTGGCAACCGGGCGATTCCGGGGCATTGTTGAGTAACTTTTGAGTGATTTAAGCCATGAAAAAAAGCGTGAACAATAGTTGGTGCCACCATCAAGCCATCAAGAAAATGGATGAATCCAACAATATCAATGGGGATTTAACCAGTTTCATTGATGAATGCAATGGATATGAATGGATATATGATATGAGTGTATCTGAAATTGGAGTATACCACCTCAAGTTATGGCACTTCGAATGCGCTCCGCATGGTGATGATCCGATAGGGGTTGGAAGATTGCTTTCCCAGACGAGAAATAGCGATTCTCAGGGTCTACGGATGTCTACGGGGTCTGTGTCGGTGTTTTGTTCTTTCTTCTGGCCAGGTTAAACCTCTTTCCCCCCGGAGCTGCGACTCGGCTTTTAAGCAGATCTCCTGCGATCATCTTTGATTCACAGCCATAAACCATGGATAAACCATCCGCAATCATATATCTCAAACACAACAGGAGGGTTGTTTCCCTCAGTGGTTCCAAGTTTGGCTTGAGGCTTGAGGCGGATTTAGGAGAGATACAGTATATATAGATACACAGACTTTTTAAAAGCAAACCGCGTATTGGGGATGGTTTAGGGCATTGCGGAGCCCCCCATTACTTGATTCAACAGCTTAAAAACACATGTTGCATAGCATTGTCAGAACAAATCCACCATGACCATGAATCTGGTTTCTCTTGATTTGCAATTAATTTCTGACAAGTTCTGAGACTGTGTGGTGAGATTGCTGTGAGAGAGAAATAATATATATATATATATACATACATACATACAAAGGCCAACACATCCATCAAAAAAAGTTTGTGTGCTGCGAAACACTGTTGTCCTCAAAATCGAGGTGAGTTTGTCGGAATTCAAAAGCTGCCTGCTGGCTGCCCTGCGCTCGACTTTACCACAAGTTTGGACACCGAAACACGAAGAAGCCTGGACCTGGCTTTGGGACAACGTGGTGCGCTCGGTGAATCAGTACACCGTGACCTGGCAGCCAAGGGCGCTCTGTAGCTGGTTTTTTTTGTTGAATAAATTATCTGCCCCAAAAGATAGGGTTTACCGACGTTTACCCGTTTACTCCTACCATTTAAGGCACTTGGATGGTGAGTTATCCTTGATTTCTTTTCAAAATCATGTTTTGGGGCCTGCACCCAGGAACGTACCAAGCCTTATGAGCACGCGTTGTCGCAAGCCTATGGCAGTTTCTCCGCTGGAAAATTCCGGAAGATCCAGAAGGACGTCTGCCCGGAGCTGGTTTGCGGATGATTCTTCAGTAAATCTGGGTGAACGATAGGTTGACCTGTCAATATCTGCAATGTCAGGCTGGTCGGCGACATACATCCACATACATATATACATATATATATACATACATATTAGATACCTTTTTATGAGTATACACTTTTCGCCACGAGCGTAAAAGGTTGAAAAAGAGATTGTTATTACACAATTTGAAATGTGCCTTGCCCTGTCTTGTCTCTGCATCTTTTGGTTTGCATTGTGTTCAGTAGACATATGGATTCTGGCATTCTGATGGTTCCTTCGGATACATCGAATTAAATCATATCCCGCAAAAGACCCGAGGGACAAGAACCATAGAATTCCTACCTCGAAATATGAGGGTTTCTTTCAAAGATTCAACCAACTCGGATAATGGTGATATCCGATGACACAACACATGCCCTTTTCAATCCTTTTCATTGGTTCCCAAGATTTATTTATATATATAAAAATGTAGATATCAACAATTCCTCATAGAGATAGATAGATGGATAGATAGGTAGACAGACAGACAGACAGATATAGATAGATAGATAAGATAAGATAAGATGAGATGAGATGAGATGAGATTAGATAGATAGATAGATAGATACATAGATAGATACATAGATAGATACATAGATAGATATATAGATAGATAGATCCATAGATAGATCCATAGATAGACAGATAGATAGATAGATGGATAGATAGATAGATTAGATAGATTAGATAGATTAGATAGATTAGATAGATTAGATAGATTAGATAGATTAGATAGATTAGATAGATTAGATAGATTAGATAGATTAGATAGATTAGGATTAGATAGATTAGATAGATTAGATAGATTAGATAGATTAGATAGATTAGATAGATTAGATAGATTAGATAGATTAGATAGATTAGATAAATTAGATAGATTAGATAGATAGATAGATAGATAGACAGATAGATAGAGAGATAGATAGATAGATAGATAGATAGATAGGTAGATAGATAGATAGATAGGTAAATAGATAGGTAGGTAGATAGATAGATAGATAGATAGATCAACAGCAATAACAGTATCATCAATAAGATCAATAAACAATAACATGAGATTTGCTTAAATTTAAATTATTATATAATGCACATCATTATTTCCATACAAAGGCATTGATGCCCTATTTATTAATAGATGGGCATAGCTATCTCTTCGCCCATAGGAGTTCTTCACGGCCTTCTTTGAGATCGCCCCGGTGGGTCAGAACTACTTCAAGCAGTCGCTGACGCGTCTCTTGTTCATTGCCGACAAGGCCAGCGGAGGATTTGAATGGGACTTCTTAATGGGAGTTCTTGAGGATTGCATGGGAATTCTATGGGAAAGTATGGGAAAGTAAAGGGTATTATTGAATTATATATAATGGTTCATTGTTGGATTATCATGGTTTATAAATGTTTATAATGTGGATATAATGTAATATAATAGGTTATTATTTGGGTAGAATGAGATACGAGTTAGTAGAGGCTTCCTAATGCTTCTTCACTCCCGTTTACCCAAGGGAAAACATCATGAGAGCTAATTTCAGAAATAGTGCAGACTCGAAATCCATCGGAGGATGATTTGTTTAAAACCTGTTGTTCTTACACTCAGTTGATGGCTGCCAGTCCTCAATCAGTGTATGTCTATCAATCTGCCAGACCTGCCTGCCCCTTCTTGCCCTGGAAAGCCACAATCGGACTTTTGTTCCGTTACATCAGTTTGACCGTTGTTTGACCATTACATGTCATGGCCCTTTTTGAGGAATACATTCACAAGCATTTACAGATGTAGTCATTTGTCATGTTTCCATTATCATTGTCACTATGTCATCACTATGTCGACATCATCATCAGTATATATTGCTACTATTATTCTGTTACCAAGTTATCATCACCTTTATTTCCTTAAACACCATGTATAGCATAATCATCAATGCTATTACTATATATCTATTACTGCTTTATGCTTGTCATATGTTGTTTCATGTTGCTTAATTTTGTTTCTAGTAACCCCAAAAAAAAACAAAATATAGAAAACTATATAAATTATCACTATTTCCGTAGGAATTTGTTTTTCTGTGTTTTTTCTTTCTGGATGACCAAAAGTCTTTAACATCTCAAGATTCTTCCTAGCACCAGGTGCTGATCTTCAGCCTGGAGATTTTACGGCAGCCCAAGAAGATGGTCTCGGAAATGTCCGCCTTAGGTTTGAAACACGTAGGCAGCTGGGATGGATCGATGGGATGATATCTCACCGCGTGCTCGATCTCGCCAAGCGGCCAAACTTGTTTTTTTTCGGAGAGCCGGACCGCCATGAGTTGTGTAATTTTTAGGGGGTTATCAGTGTGAAATGTCGGCGCAAATTTGAGTTGAGGTTTTAATCCTGAAATGAATGTCAAACATAAGCGTTTTAAATCCAATGTTTGGATTTGAAAAAATATTTGCACAGGGTACTCGTCAAGCGGCGTGTCCACAGTTGGAATTCACTAGCAGCTGGTGTTTGCGCATCTCAAAGCATTGTTTGTTGGACGTCCATATTTTTTAGCCCATGGTTTCATTGATCCATGGTTTCAATTGTTTTTTTCCATGGTTTCAATCCTTTTTCCGTGCATAACAGGCACCTAGTGTTACGACGTTCCCAGAATGGTCACAGCCGTGGCAGTTCCGTGTTTCTGGGAATGATGAAGGTGAACGGTCTGGAGAGAAGATCTTTTTAGTGAACTTTCCGAGGTTGGTTCTACTTGGGGGTTTCCATAAATGGGAATATCCCAAAATAGATGGTTTATTTCATGAACAATCCCATTAAAATGGATGATTTAGGCCCCCATTTTAGGAAATACTCACTTCAAGAGTTGTTTTGTTTTAGAGTGAGTTGGGGTAACAAAAAATTAGTGTCACTCGCGAAAAAAATTGCATGAAGCACTATTTGGTGACTGGAAATGACTTGGTTTGGGTTCCGCAGAATTCATGTATTGCTTAGTGGGTGAAGCTGCCTACATTTGGGCAATTTTTCGGCGCATTCAATGGATCGTTTCAAAGAAGAACTGTTGGAAACACCTATATATTCCGCATCGTTTTCCTGTAGATTGTCCCTTAAACCAATCGATCGAGGGTACTAATTGTTATTGCTTCTCCATTTGTGGACAAATATATTCCCAAATTCGGTAAAAAATAAAATATGATAAAATATGTTAAATTTGTAAATTTCTCAACTACACCGTTTAAACCAATCTAAAGAATCCAAAAGAAAAACCCGGGAGCAAAACAAAGCTCGCTCCTCTGAAAGGCTTCGGCATTCCAACGGACCTCTTCACACCCTTCATCACGGCCTGCATCAAGGCGGGCCAAGGGCGGAACCTGGGAAAAATGGGTAGTTTTTTTTTGTCCGGGTCCAAGAGACTAAGAGACCCCAAAAAAGAAAAATCCGCTTGGTGAAAAAGTGGCTGGTTGGTGGTTTGGAACATTTTTTATTTTCCATAGTATATGGGATAATCCTTCCCATTGACTAATATTTTTCAAGATGGTTAAAACCACCAACCAGGTGGCCATTCCAATCGTTTCAATCCATTTCATGGCGATAATGAGGATCTAAGATGATCCAAGTAGATACCGTAGAACGATCTGACTGGAAAGGTTCCTGCAGTGCTTGTTTGTCAAGTTAACAATTGTATCCAAGCGTCACCTGTTTGTGCGTTCCGTCTTAGCTTTATGCCAACGGGTGATCAATATATCCTGGTTGATTAGCGGGAATTGGTGCCCATGTTGGATCCATCCCCCGCCTGCAAAAAGAGGCAAAGGACCGGAGCTGGATGGGAGCTGGGGTCGGTCACATTCCTTTAATGCCTTAGTATGGCTTGGACAGGCTGTTTTTCCACTTGGTGTAGTATTGTAGTGAAGTCGTGGCCATCACTACTTGCTGCTACATCCTTTTGCTATTATTATGTTAGCTTCATTTTTTTCATCGAAAATCCTTCTCTGAAATTCTTTTTGTTTCGTTTTTTTTTGTTGTGCTTGGGCCCAACATGTCATAGAAAGGTAGGGGTTCAGATCATCAAAATTAGCATGAACAGATAGATGAATGAATATATATATATATACATACGCTGTATATTTTTTTGATCCAAAGGCTCGACGCAAGCACTTAAGCATTTGATGCATTTGCTTTCCGTCTAAGCTGGAGCCTTGTCATGTTCAATTGCTGTGCGTCATATCCAAAGTTCCCCCATTCAGCCCCATCAAGCCACCAGGGACCCTTCCTCTCGGAGATCAGTTAAATCACGTTACCATCCGGTAAACATACAAAAAGCTATTGAGAATGGCCATTTATGGTTGATTTACCTAGTAAACATGGTGATTTTTTTTCATAGATATGTTAGTTTACCAGAGGGTAAATCCATTGGAATCCGCTGAGGTCTTTCGCAAGTTTTGCCCCAAAGATCAAGCCAGCGAAGCCTTTGAATGGGCCCTGATTCTGGTGAGCGTCGTCTTGGTGCGGGCCATCCAGGAGCGGTTGTCCTAATGGGGTTGGATGGGTACGGACTCCCATTGGAAGAATAGCATGTCTCATCAAAACGGTCATGACGATCCTAGAACATACCCTCTGGTAAACTAACATAACTATGAAGAATCACCATGTTTACTAGGTAAATCACTCATAAATGACAATTTTTCAATGGCTTTTTGTATGTTTACCAGGCCGGGTATTTTTTTTTTAGGCTTAGGGTATCCACCGTTGTTGGACACTCACATTTGGGGTGGATGGGCGAGCTTGCAGCTTGCAGCTTGCTTTTGGCTCAAGTAGCGGCCTCCGGCGCTCCAAAGATCATCAGCGTTTTTTTGGTCATTTCATGAGGTCAACATATTTCAGGCGTTGATCATTTCATGATCCAAAATCCTAAAAATGAATACTTCACATGCTAGAGCTGCTAGATGGCTCCAAGTGTGCTTGGGGTCAGACTTCTTCCACAGTTCCAAAAAACGGATGGTTTCAGAATGGTTTCAGATCCGAACAAGTATCACGGTCAAACTTATCCGGAAAAACATGGAAAAATCATGAAAAATCTCTGAATGTTTCAGATCCGGAGAACATCTCCAGCCTCGCCCTGGAATCGCTGAATCGAACCATGGAGGGTCCCGTCCCTGACGTCGACTTTTCGGCTTTCTGTGTCGAGATCCCGGGGCCAATGGAGGTCACCACAGTCACCACGAGGCAACGGGAAGTTGGCAAGCAGCTCTATGAGATACTCACCAACCATGGTGACTGGCCCTTGATTTGTGGAGTTTAACCTTCCTGGGTTCCAAGTTGCAAGGTTAAAAAACAAATGAAACGGTGAATATTTCGCTACCAAATGTATCTAAAATGGCAAACCCCATTTGAAGCAAACAAATGATTTAAATGCTGGTTTATTACATAATTAGGACTATATGATCTATATGGGCTGATCATTCGCTACTAAATAGGGTGAATGAAAATCTGGGGTTGACATTGCATATAAGCCAAGGACATGTGGGGGGTTGAAATTATGTTTCTTGATCTGTGCGCCAAAGATAAATGGGGATAAATACAATTGGTGGGGCTGATGGTGCCAGTTAACTAGAACATCATTGTAGATAGGATAGAATGGAACCACCAACACCAATCGTGTTGTCTCGTTTTGGGGGGACCGGAACCAAGGCAGTTATAGAGTGGGTCGGTCAAGATGTCTCCACTTCAGATCGTTTGAGATGTGTCAAGCAACAAAGAGTTGGCATTGTTCAAGTTGCGACTGATGATTTTGTTTCCGCAATCTTTTGGCACGAGGCCACGTATTTTTAGGCAAAGCCTAACACAACACATCAGCATTGTTTGTGGTGCCTCAGGTGAATTGTGATTGCTTTGAAGCCATACTTCTTGGATTTCGTTTGGGCTTCTGGCGTGGATGCCCCAATGAGAAAAAAACATGAAAACAATAATCATGGGTGCCAATTTTATCATCATCATTCGAGATATTTCTTCCCAAACACTTTGGAATCCAAGTTCCCTCGCTACGTGATGTGGCCCAGGATTTGTCTATGCCTTTGGCCTTCTCTCATCACAAGAAATCGCTGAAGTCTTCCGTGTCTCGCCACACTTTGTTTTAAGCAGTTGGCAACCACAAAACCAGCTCCCCAACAATGCAACGATTCTCATCAAAGAAATTACCAGCCACAAAATGCCACAAACTGCAATGGACAAATCCACCATTTCTAGATGTTTTTTCCCATTGATATCCTCCATTGAAAGAGGGGTTTTCCCTTTGTCACGTTTGAGTGCGGAAGGGTATACACTGTATACATATGTATACACCAACTTAAGGAGCACCTTCCCAGGTGGTTCCAAAGGCTTCTTCTCGCCATCCACAGACCGCAGCGCCTTGCCTCGCCTGACGCCGGCGACCAACGTGGGCTACGGTGCTGTGGGGAATGAGGCGCTCAACGCGCGGCGCGCGGGGGATATCAAGGAGGCCTTCAACCTGCGGAAGGAGACACTCACAGCCTCATGGTGCCATCAAACTGGTAAATAAAGTCAAGGTTGTTTTTTAGCGCTGAGGTTTGCGTGTAGGGTTTGAATGTGAGTTTCACTTTTTTGTTGGGGAGATATCTTGAGAATAATTATATAGTTGTTTTTTTGGGCAACTTTAAAGGATAATGGTTGTTGAACCAGATATTTGATGGAGATGCCAAGGTCTGTCATATCCAAGTAGTCCTTCCTCCCAATCTTACCACAGCCTCCTAGAAACCATGATTAAGTACAGAGGTAATATGTGCAATGGGACCATTTAGGGGGTGTTTGATGTTAGAGGGATGCGATTAACACTTAAAGTTTACCCTATGGTAAACATACAAAAAGCTATTGAAAATGTCCATTTACTGTTGATTTAACCATCAAAAATGGTGATTTTCCATAGTTTTTTGTATGTTTACCAGAGGATAGCCATTGTCATCGGACTTCAGATGATGAGCTCAGGATGGCACGTTGAACTTCCAAGAGGGCTTCCCCAGCTACTGCCACCGGGCTTGGGATCTCTGTGCTATGGCCGCGCAAAGGGCGCTTTTGGCCTTCGGGGTGGCCCTGGGATTGCATGAGCCAGCGATTTTTGAAGCTGGGATGGAGATCAGTTGCATTTAAGTGCACATATCCCATTCCTAATATTAAACACCTCCGCAAACCATGGTTTGATATGGGATTTACAGATATTCAAACCTTGTTTTTGGTAGCACGGATTTACACAACTACACAACCGTGTGTTTTTGACATCAACGTGTCAAAACGCCTTACGTTTTGTCATTTTTCAAATCAGCAATTTCGTAATGAGACGACGAAAAGTTTGCAGAGGCTTTTTTTTCATCTCGCATCTGCTCGCTATGTCTCACTTGGACATGTTGTGGCGATAGATCCATTGATAGATTGTATCCCAGAATCTGGCATTGATTGTTGGGCCAGTGCGGTTTTTCATTTGACTGGGGCATTTTTTTTTGAGATGTTGCCAACAACGATCAATTTGTTGGGTTCCTGCAACTTTCTTTCTTCCCCGCACTCGCACCTTCCGAGTCCATTCACTACGCATGTGGACCACGGACTTCATCACCATGCTTTTGGTAACATTCCATCAACGTAGCATCAACTAGTTCCGCAAGCGTACACGGAATTACCGGACGTTGATCAAACATGGCAATGGGATAAATCTTTAGATTGATATGTACCTGGGAAATCATCTATGAATGAAGGAGTTTCAAAAGGCAATGTTTGATTGCCGGGGTGTATATATATATATATGTATGTATGTATGTAATGTAATGTTATGTTATGTTATGTTATGTATGTATGTGTGTATGTAATGTATGTATGTATGTAATGTAATGTAATGTAGTGTAATGTCATGTAATGTAATGTAACGTAACGTAACGTAATGTAACGTAATGTAACGTAATGTAATGTAATGTAATGTATGTATGTAATGTAATGTATGTAATGTAATGTAATGTAATGTAGTGTAATGTAATCTAATCTAATGTAATCTAATCTAATGTAATCTAATCTAATGTAATGTATGTATGTATGTTATGTTATGTTATGTTATGTATGTATGTATGTATGTATGTAATGTATGTATGTAATGTATGTAATGTATGTAATGTATGTAATGTATGTAATGTATGTAATGTATGTATGTATGTATGTATGTATGTATGTATGTA